TCCTGGTTGCTCCTCTTCCAGTCCAGCTCTCTGCTGTGGCCTGGGAAAGCAGTAGAAGATGGCCCAAGTCCTTGGGCCCTGCACCCGCATGGGAGACCAGGAAGAAGCTCCTGGCTTCAGATAGGCGCAGCTCCGGCCGTTGCGGCCATTTGGGGAGTGAATCTATGGAAGGAAGACCTTTCTCTCTGTCTGTCCCTCTTACTGTCTGTAACTCTACCTCTCAAATAAATAAAAATCTTAAAAAAATAAAATAAAAAAAAGTTCCAGGCTCCTGACTTTGGACCTTGGCTGTGGCATGCATTTGGGAAGTGAGCCAGCAAGATCTCTCTAGTTGTCTCTTTGTCACTCTCTGCCTTTCAAATAAAAATAAGTTTTTTTTTTCCAAAAATGCAGGCAAATAGAGCCAAAACTTTCTAAGAAGTATCTCCTTTTTGTATCATACCCTTGTTCTAAGTGTGAGGACCAGACTTTATTTTCGACTACAAATATACAAAAATGAAAAAAAGAAAAATCCTCCCACCAGTACAGCCCTCTGAAAGATGACAAAAGAGCAACAGCACAAGGAGCAAGCAGAGCCGTGGAGGACCCAGACCGCCCGAGACATCTCTCACGTCCTCCCGCCTCCGTGTTCCCTGTCTGAAATACCACCTTGTGACCTCATTTTGTACAACAAGCAGACCTGAAAGATCTAGAAAATTCCAAGGATCTCATTACCCCCCAGAATTTAATTAGACAATGAAGTCAAACTGACTTGTTCTCCATGAAGAGTACGGAATTGAGCGGAAAACGAAACCACCTTCTCTGAGCAGGAACTAGATAAATATGGCAACACAGTGCTAAAGCTTTAATCACTTTAACTTCATCTAAGCTGCACAGGCACACAACTGCGAGGACAAGGAAAAGCCAATGACCCATAGCCTGCTGCAGTCACATTTTAAAATTACCAAAGAACTAACTCCAAAAATGGGAACTCAGACCCCTCATCTAAATTCTCACTTTCAGAGTCAGGTGACGATTACGCGGGGCCGGCACTGTGGCACAGTTGGGTGAAGTCGCCACCTGTGAGCCAACATCCCACTTGGGTGCCGGTTCAAGTCCCCGCTGCTCCGTTTCCAATCCAGCTCCCCATTCGTGGCCTTGGAAAAGCAGCAGTAGACGGCCCACGTGCTTGGGCCTGTGCGCCTGTGCGGGAGACCTGGAAGAAGCTCCTGGCTTCAGCCTGGCTCCACCCTGGTGAGTGCAGCCAACTGGAGAATCGACCAGCAGATGGAAGATCTCTCTCTCTCTCTCTCTCTGAGTGTGTCTGTCTCTCCCTCTATCTCTTGACCTTCAAATAAATAAACAAATCTTTTAAAAAGGATTATGCATAAAAATATGATTCCAGGTTGGACTCCCGAGAAATCCGAAACACCCACTCCTCGGCCTCTCCCCACGGTGGCCCTCAGGGGCACCCTCACACCTGAGCGCGGGTGCAGCGAGGCCCAGGGCTGCGCGGCCTGCACAGGGAGGACTGTGAGGGGCCGGGCAGGGCCTCAGGGTCCTCTGCAGCAGCTCTAGGACTCCGACCAGGCTCTATGCTGTGTGAGAGTGTCCCAGACAATTAGGACTTTTCAGGAAGATTTTTAAAATAAAGATGGGGATACCAGCTCAGTCAGAACTATTCTGTGCATACACACATTAATACTTCGGCTATCAGAATCCGTGTCATTTAAGCACAATATCCTGCAATGCTCACAACAGCAAATGATGTGGAGGTCACACAGAATGCTGCGCACTGAAATTCTTCAGCAGATGTAAGGAACCACCTAACCCAGGGAGGACACTGAAATATCAGTTATGTTGTACTAATTTTTTTTTTACTAAAATGTCTTTAGACAGATGGAAGCATAAAAATAAGTATAACAGTCAGAGTTATACAGAGAAAGAAGAAGAGGCAGAAAGAGAGAGGTTTTCTATCTGCTGGGTCACTCCCCAATTGGTCGCAACAGCCACAGCTGTGCTGACCCGAAGCCAGGAGCCAGGAGCTTCTTCCCCATCTCCCACACGGGTGCAGGGGACAAGGACTTGGGCCATCCTCGCTGCTTTCCCAGGTGCATGAGCAGAGAGCTGGATCAGAAGTGGAGCAGCTGGGACTTGAACCAGCACCCACATGTGATACTGGCACCACAGGCAGCGGCTTTACCTGCTCAGCCACAGCGTCAGCCCCTGCTCTGCTTTTCAAATAAATAAATAAATAAACCTTTAAAAAATGAGTCCTAAAATATTACCATTTTTTTTTCTTTTTTTTTTTTTATTTTTTATTTTTTGACAGGCAGAGTGGACAGTGAGAGAGAGAGACAGAGAGAAAGGTCTTCCTTTGCCGTTGGTTCACCCTCCAATGGCTGTCATGGCCGGCGCACCGCACTGATCCGATGGCAGGAGCCAGGAGCCAGGTGCTTTTCCTGGTCTCCCATGGGGTGCAGGGCCCAAGCACTTGGGCCATCCTCCACTGCACTCCCTGGCCACAGCAGAGAGCTGGCCTGGAAGAGGGGCAACCGGGACAGAATCCGGCGCCCCGACTGGGACTAGAACCTGGTGTGCCGGCGCCGCTAGGCGGAGGATTAGCCTAGTGAGCCGCGGCGCCGGCCAAAATATTACCATATTTTAATATAGGAAGGGTAAACTGCTACCTGTTTTTGGCCAGCCTACAAGCTAACAAATGCTTTTACTTTTTTAAATGTAAGTTTACTACACCTCCCTAAAATCAAATAATAATATTTCATGCTATGTGAAAATTACATGAAATTCAGATGTCACTGTTATCTGTAAACCTGACTGGACACAGCCAGTTCATCAGGTACTATCTGTGGCCGTTGCCTGCTACGGTGGCACACTGGAGGAACTGCAACAGTTTGCCCACAGAGCCTGAAATATTACATTCAATCACTGACATAAAAGTCTATTCATCACAAAACAATGGAAAGATAAATCTTGCTCATGGATCAGAAGAATCAATATCATTAAAATGTCTATACTGGCTGGATGACAGTGGGTAAAGCCACCACCTGCAGTGCCACTATCCCACATGAGCACTAGTTCAAGACCCGGCTGCTCCACTTCTGGTCCAGCTCTCTGCTATGGCCTGGGAAAGCAGCAGAGGATGGCCCAAGTCCTTGGGCCCTGCACCCATGTGGGAGACCTGGAAGAAGCTCCTGGCTTCAGCCTGGCCCAGCTCCAGCCTTCTGGACATTTGGGGAGTGAACCAGCATACGGAAGTTCTCTGTCTCTGCCTTTCAAAAAAGTTTTTACAGATCATCTATCTTGTATGGGTTTACTAGTATCCAGAATATATAAAGAACTTTTGTAATTCAGCAATAAAAATATGTAAATACTAAAAAATGGCGACAAGAGTTAAGAAAAAGCCTAGCTCCCCAACCTCCCCACTGACCTCCTCAGAGAAAGAGACAGAGCCTCTCATCCACTGGTTACCCCCAAGTGCATAAGGGCCGAAGGCGGGCAGGAGGAACTCAAAAGGAGTGAAGCTGCAGTCTCCTGCCCAGAACCCGGGCCCTTGGGCGATCGCACGGCTTCCCGGGACCTCGCCTAGCAGGAAGTGCACTCTGACACAGGAGGCAGAGCCTCCACCCACTCATTTTTTCTTACAATAAACGTATTAACTTAGGCCACTGCAGCGGGATACAACCCTAAGTGGTAACACCAACCAGAGCTAAACTCATTACGGCAAGCAGAGATCAACAATGCTGCTGGGTCTCGCCCAGGCGCACTGCCAGCCAGAACCACGCGGGCCCAGCTGGCGTGCAGACTTCCAGCCAGGTCCTTTTCCCGCCCGTGTGCCCCTTCACGTGCATGTCAACAAAGTTCATTTCCCAGCGGGGCTTGGTCGCGCCAGGCCTCGGCTCTAACACCCCAGCGGCTTCCCTGCGAGAAGGCGGATCCCCCGATGGCCCTCCCTCGCCCTCTGACCTTCCCTCCCGCCCGGAACGCCCCGCTCCGCGGCCTCGCGCCGGGCCCTGCTCGCTCTGCAGGCCTCACCTCAGAGGCCAGCGCGGCCCCCGGCCACCCCAGGCAAACGTCAACGCCTTCCAGCCCGACAGTCGCCGTCCCTCCCTGCACTTCCGGCTGCCAGAGCGCACACCGACCTCGGCGTCCGGCTTCCCTACGTCGGCCCCACGCGAGAGCCCGGGGGAGCGGAGCTCCGTCCCGGCTGGGCCCGCGCCTGCACGGTGCCGGCCAAGCACACAGGAAAGACTTCCTGACGGCGAATAAGCCGGAGAGCAGCAGGGCAGAGCCGCGGAGCGAGTGCCGGGGAGTACCTGTTTTTACCTTTACAACGAACGGGATTCCCGAGCTTGATTCTCAAACGAGCCCGCACTGCTCCCCGGAGCCCGCTTCCCGTACTGAACGCTCAGGACAAGGCCAGCGCAGCAGACACGGAGACCGGGAGAGGGGCTGCAGGGCGGCCCGCCCGACACACGGGCGCCCCGGGGCGCGCCTGCCGTCCACACCGCCCGTCGGGAAAGCCCGCACTCCCCAGCCTGCTCGGGGACTTGCTTTCCTGTTTCTGCCTCAGAACCCCCTCCCCAGGCCCAGCAGGGTAAGGGGCTGGCAGCAGCGAAGCCCCCGGGCGCCCCTGCGGCGGGCACCCCGCGCCCCGGCCGGCGCCGCGGGAGCGCGCGTCTCGCGCATCGCACCGCGCCGTGTCCAGCACCGCGCTGGCCGCGGGGTCCCGCGCGCGGGCCAACGCGGGGTCGCAGACAGGCCTGTCGCTCAGGCCGCGCTCGGAACGCGGCGCCCACGCGGGCCCGCGGGGCCGCGGCCGCAGTCGCCGAGGCTCCCCCGCCCGCGCGGCCCCGCCGGCCCAGCAGCATGACGTCACCCGCGCCCGCACGGCCTCCCGCGCCGGGCCCGGCACCGTCCCCTCCCGCCGGTCCGTGGCCGCACCGTGCTCCCGACCCTCCGCCCCGAGCGGCCGGCGCCCCCGCCGCTGCCCCCGGACTCACGGTCGGTGCGGCGGCTCCTCGGCCATCGCCGGGCCGGGAGGCGGCGGCGGGGACGGCAGCGGGGGCGGCTGCTGCGCGGGCGGCGGCGGCGGCGGCGGCTGCGCGGGCGGCGGCGGCGGCGGCTGAGACGGCTGAGGCGCCGGCGGCGCTGGCGGCGGCTGCTGCTGCTGCTGCTGGAAAGACTTGAGGGACTCGAAGGCCTTCATCAGCTTTTCCAGGGTCGCCATGGCGGCCTCTCACCCCGCAGGGCAGCCCCCAGCGGCCTCGGGCCGGCTCGCGGCGACGCGGCGCCCCTCAGCAGCGAGGCAATGAATGAGGTTCGCGGCCGGGGGCAGAAGCGGAACCAGCGCGCCCGGCCATCTTGGGCCCGTCCCGGCAGCCCCCGCGGCGCCCCGCGTCCAGCGACGCTGCGTCGGCGGAGGCAGGACCACGCCGAAGCGGCGGGATTGACAGCCCGAGGCGGCCGTCTCTGCCTATGGCCGGCCGAGGCGCCGGCCCGTACCTCCCCCACTCCGCCCTCGGCAGCTTCGCTCCTCAGAGCCTGCGCTGCAGTTAGAACCCAGCGCTACCTCAGGGCGAAGACGGCGAGGGGGCGGGGCGAGGGCGGGACGAGGGCGGGACGAGGAGCGGCTGCGGGGCGGGCCCAGAGGGGGCGGGGAGAGGGCGGGGCGAAGAGTGACTGAGGGGCGGGCCCAGAGGGGCGGGGCAAGGGCGGGGGCGAGGAGTGACTGAGGGGCGGGCCCAGAGGGGGCGGGGGAAAGGGCGGGGCGAAGAGTGACAGAGGGGAGGGGCAAGGGCGGGGCGAAAAGTGACTGAGGGGGCGGGGAGAGGGCGGGGCGAGGAGCGGCTCTAAGGGGCGGGGCGAAGGGTGGCTTAGGGAACGGGGAAGGGGCAGGCGAGGGGGCGGGGCGGAGAGCGGTGGGGCGGGTCCAGAGGGGGCGGGGCGAGGAGCGTCTCTAGGGGGCGGGCCGAAGGGTGGCTATAGGGGACCGGGAAGGGGCAGACGAGGGGGCGGGGCGGAGAGCGGTGGGGCGGGCCCAGAGGGGGCGGGGAAATGGGCGGGGCGAGGAGTGACTCAGGGGCGGGGGCGGGGAAATGGGCGGGGCGAAAGGTGGCTATGGGGAACGGGGAAGGAACAGGCAAGGGGGCGGGGCAAGGAGCGTCTAGGAGGGCGGAGAGCGGGCCCAGAGGGGACGAGGAGAGGAGCGGCTCTAGGGGGCGGGGCGAAGGGTGGCTTAGGGAACGGGAAGGGGCAGGCGAGAGGGCGGGGCGGAGAGCGGTGGGGCGGGTCCAGAGGGGGCGGGGAGAGGGCGGGGCGAGGAGTGACTGAGGTGGGCCCAGAGGGGGCGGGGAAAGGGCGGGGCGATGAGTGACTGAAGGGCGGGCCCAGAGGGGCGGGGAGAGGGCGGGGCGAGGAGCGGCTCTAGGGGGCGGGGCGAAGGGTGGCTTAGGGAACGGGGAAGGGGCAGGCGAGGGGGCGGGGCGGAGAGCGGTGGGGCGGGTCCAGAGGGGGCGGGGCGAGGAACCAATCTGAGGGGCGGGCCCTGAAGGGGCGGGGAGTGGGCGGGGCGAAGGGTGGCTATAGAGGAGGGGAAGGGGCAGGCTTGGGGGCGGGGCTAGCGGGAACGAACCACGGGGGCTGGAACAGGTGCAGGGCTGGTGTCGGCGAACCGCGACCGGGAAGACCCCACGAGGGAAGAGCCCCTCCCCGACGTAGAGCTGCAGACGCCGGCAGGTCGGGGCTGAGCCTGCTGGGGTCTCCCTGCGAAGGGGAGCGGCCCCAGGGGGCGCAGTGGCTCAGCAAAGGCGTGGGGCGCCCCCTCATGCCCGGGGGCGTTCAGGCTGTCGCCGAGGGGTCCGGGGCACCCCGTGAGCGAGCAGAGGGAGGTGGGCGCGTGCAGGGCCGCAGGTGCAGCCGGCCCAGCGCCGAGGGAGCCTGGCGGCCAGGAGGGGGCTCCTCCCCGCTCAGGCCGGTGAGCGCTGTCATCCACGCGTGTTGTGCCTTTGTGTTGTGCAGTGACGTGTGGTGCACACGTGTTGAGTTCGCTGGCCTGGGTGGGGGAGGGCCTTAAACCGCGGCCATGGATCCTCACTGCCCAGGCCCGGGGCCGCCCTCTGGTCTGTGTGCCCACTGCTTCCTGTGCAGACGCTAGTCACAGGGGATCGGGACCCCCTCGGGACCTCCCACCCCCCGAGGCTGCGTGCGAACAGCCGCCCAGCTCTGTTGGGCAGCTTGCCCAGTATGAGCGCCCCTCCCTGGAAGTCCCCTGAAAGGGGAGGGGTTCGCCCGCCCGCTGCCTGGGACGGCGCAGCCGGTAGGACCGGGAGCCCAGGCGCCCCGGCTGCCTGCCTCTGCCCGGAACGCACTGTGGGGTCCTGCCAGGAAGCCTCGGGAAACGCACTAGCGCGTGGGCCCTGCCGGGAAGCCCCGAGCTCCCGTCAGGCGCCTGGCCTGGAAACCCAGCTCCACTCCTGGCATGTTCCAAACAGAGTAATTAAAGATTAATACCGCGGGGCCGGCGCCGCGGCTCACTAGGCTAATCCTCCGCCTGCGGCGACGGCACACCGGGTTCTAGTCCCGGTCGGGGCACCGGATTCTGTCCCAGTTGCCCCTCTTCCAGGCCAGCTCTCTGCTGTGGCCAGGGAGTGCAGTGGAGGTTGGCCCAAGTGCTTGGGCCCTGCACCCGATGGGAGACCAGGAGAAGTACCTGGCTCCTGCCTTCGGATCAGCGCGGTTCGCCGGCTGGGGCGGCCATTGGAGGGCGAACCAACAGCAAAAGGAAGACCTTTCTCTCTCTCTCTCTCACTGTCCACTCTGCCTGTCCAAAAAAAAAAAAAAAAAAAAAAAGATTAATTCCGCGGGCATCGTGTTCTTCCAACCGCCTTCCCCCGCTGGGGCGCCAGTCCCTGGGCCAGCAAGGGACGCTTCCCAGGGGAAACGGGCGAGGGCGGCCACGTTTTACAGCAGCACAGGGACCAATATAGATGCTGGGTGGACGTGAATCCCGATATAGCAGTTCCTAGAGTCCCGTTCCCCAAGTGCATCTGTGAGTCAGCACATTACACTGTATGACATTGAACTGGGGCCAGCATCGCGGCATAATGGTAAAGTCACCACCGGCATCACTGCCATCCCATACGGGCACTCACTGGCTGTTCCGGCCATCTGGGGAGTGAGCCATTAAATGAAAGATCAATATCTATCTCTGTTTCTAACTCTCAAATAAACAAATCGTTAAAAAAAGAAATTAACTGGGGCCGGTGCTGAGGCGCCTCCGGCTAAAGCCCTGGCCTGAAGCGATGGCATCCCGTATGGGCGCCAGTTCTATTCCCGGCTGCTGCACTTCCTATCCAGCTCTCTGCTGTGGCCTGGGAAAGCAGCAGAAGACAGCCCAAGTCCTTGGGCCCCTGCACCCACGTGGGAGACCCTGGCTTCTGGCTTGGGGTCGGCGCAGCTCTGGCAGTTGCGGCCATCTGGGGAGTGAACCAGCGGATGGAAGACCTCTCTCTCTCTCTGTCTCTCTCTGGCTCTACCTCTTTCTGTAACTCTGTCTTTCAAATAAATAAATCTTTAAAAAAAAAAAAGAACCCCAAAGCACACGTATTGTTTATTTTCATTTTTGATTTGAAAGGCAGAGCGACAGAGAAGAGAAACCTTCCATCTGCTACTTCATGCCCCAAATATCTGCAAGAGCCAGCGCTAGGCCAGGGCCAAGCGGGAGCCCGACACTCCACTGGGTCCCATCTGGACGGAGCCCAGGGCCCTGAGCCATCACCTGCCACCTCCGGGGTGCGCACTGCCAGCCGGAAGCTGGAGGGAGAAGCAGGCAATCTGACGTGAGACACAGGTGTCTGTCCCTCGCAGCTGTTCCGCTGCTGAGCCAGACGCCCACCCACAGAAACCTTTTTGAAAAAGAAACGGCACACACATACATAAAAAACAGACTAGGAATTTAAGCACCAAATCATAGCAGTGTCTCTGTCTCAGTGGGCGAATTGTGATTTATACTTTATTGCTTTCCTCAATTTCGTCAGATTTGGCGCAACGGGTACCTACTATTCAGGAGAACGTTTTTAAATAAAAAAGTAGGTTTGAGTGGGGAGCTAGATATGAAACCCCAGCAGGTTCCTGGTGATTGATGCTGCTGAGTCGAGACGGGAGTTATTCAAAGCGCAGGGTGAACACCAGCTGGGGGCAGTCCTGAGCCCAAGGCCAGGTGGGCATGCCTGGGAGGGGAGGCTGGAGAAGGAGGGAAACAGAGCCAGAGCCCCCGCCGCTGCCCCCCGCCCCGGCCGCCAGCCCCCTGCTCCAGGAGGGCCCTGAGAGCAGGAGCAGGTGTGAGGCGACAGGCGAGGAACGTTCTGGGGGCCGAATCTGAGCGACAAGGAGCAGCCGCCCCGCTGCAGGCGGCAGACTTGTCCAGATGCCAGCCAGGCTGATCACCTCTGCTTTTTATCTTTAAAAATATCTTAGAGATCTCATCTGCTGGTTTGCTCCCAAAATGCCCATGGCAGCCGGGCTGGACCGGGCTGAAAGCAGGAACCAGGAGCTCCATCCAGGTCTCCCAAGCGGGTGGCAGAGCCCCAAGCGCTGGGACCATCACCTGCTGCCTCCCGGGCACATCCGCAGGGTGGTGGATCAGCAGCAGAGCAGCCAGGACTCAACCCCGTGCTCCCGTGGCTGTCCCACGCGTCACGTCTGCCCCAGGAACTTGGACCCTTTAACTGCTGTTACGGCTCCTTGCAGTCTAGAGGCCATCACTGCCCTGGGTTTAATTCTGTGTAAGCACACAGGTTGCAAGAGACCTGGACATGGTGGGCGAGCAGTGTGCATTTGGAATGTACCTGAGGGTGAATCTATTATTACTGAAAACTTCTAGTTTTTTTTTATCAGAAACTGTATTTTGCCTTCATTCTTTTAAAAAATCTTTAAAATTCGTTTTTTTAAATGAGAGGCAGGCAGAGCTCCATCCACAAGGTCGCTCCCCCAGTGCCTGCAAGGCCAGAGCGCGCCAAGCTAAAGGCAGGAACGGGAGCTCGTTCCAGACCTGCTGCTTGGGCGGCAGGGGCCCAGCACCCACTGCTCCCTAGGGGTGCGCCTTGGACTTCAAGACTCTGACAGCTGCTTTGTTTTGTCTGCCTTCTCCTGGTAAGCGCTCGCTGACGGTCAGAGTTTAACCTGCGTCATTCACTCTTTAGGTGTGTCTCTTGGGTGCAGCACAGGGCTGGGTTTTGCCTAGTGACCCACTCCACAGGCACTTCCCTTGAATAGGCAGGACCACTTATGTGTAGGGATGTGACATGCTGAATTCGTCACGTCAGAGATGTGACCACGCACTTACAGCCGGATTCGCTGTGGCCCCTTTTCTGACGGTGATGCCATCTTGACAACGGCCCTCAAGGAGAAAGGAGACATGGCCACAGAAATGTATCCAGTGAGCTGGAGTTGGCCTTGGAAGACTCAAGCAGCTGCACACTGAAGGGACCGACGGAGTGGCCACAGCAGCGGGAGGGGCGCTGTGGGGCGGGGCGGGGCGCTCTGTCTCCGTACCTCTCTCAACATCTTTCCCGACAACATTCGTGAAGCCTAAGAAGACACATTATCAGTTTATAAACACTGGACCCTCTCTGCATGATTGGCTCCCTCTCCTTCCCCCTCTTTTTATTTTTAAAAACTTGAAAGGCAGAGTGACAGAGAAGGACACACACACACACACACACACACTCTTCCATCTGCTGGTTCACTCCCCAGAACACTGCTGTAGCCAGAGCTGGGCAGGCGGAAGCCAGGAGCTAGGAACTCCACCCTGGTTCCCATGTGGATTTGCAGGGGCCCACGCACTTGGACCATCATCAGCTGCCTTCCCGAGTGCAGTAGCAGGAAGCAGGTTGGAAATTGAGGAGCCAGGACTCGAACCTCACTCACTCAGGGGATGCTGGCAGCTGAGCCACACCGGCCCCTACAGGGGTATTTTTCTAAATTTATTAATCCTTTGTGACTTATAAAATTCACAGTAGGTATGTCTTATTTTTGTCTTCAGAGGGTGTTGTAACTGACCAGCTCATCCACGTACATGATTTCACGTCTTCAGAATAAATGTAGAAAAACGTTTTTATCATCCGTATGTATATTTGCTCATTCTGTCGAAAACGTAAACTGAAGTTTTCCACCGTGTGCTGGCATCCACTGCTTTTCCAGATGGTCACTTTTTTGCTGTCATCTGCTGTGGAACAGGACCTAGGCAGCTCTGGGCCACACAGTGGCTCTCGTTATCGCTGGTGAGGCCAAGGTTAGAAGCGTCCTCACCCTCGGCTGCAAGCCCCACTCTGAAATGTCCGAGACCCCCTCCCTTGTAAAGCCTCCGTCCACTTAGTTTTGAAGAGCCCTCTGCTTCCTCTGCTTCCTGTCACTTTTCTATTTTCTGCAGTATGTACCTGGAGGCCCGACGTAGGCGATGAAATGGGTTAACTAAAAAAGAATCATCGAGGCCGGTGCTGTGGCGTAGCAGGTAAAGCCACGACCTACAGTGCTGGCATCCCATATGAGAGTCGGTTCGAGTCCCGGCTGCTCCACTTCCAATCCAGCTCTCTGCCATGGCCTGGGAAAGCATTAGAAGACAGCCCACGTCCTTAGGCCCCTGCACCGTGTGGGAGACCCAGAGGAAGCTCATGGCCCCTGGCTTTGGATCAGCACAGCCCCAGCCACTGCAGCCAATTGGGGAGTGAACCAGCAGATGGAAGACCAGACCTCGACCTCTCTCTCTCTCTCTGTCTCCCCTTCTCTTTCTGTGTAACTTTCAAATAAATAATCTTTAAAAAAAAAAAAAAAAAAAAAGAATAATCGTGGGGCTGATGTTGTGGTGTAGCAGGTTAAACCACGGCTGTGATGCCAGCATCCCATATGGGCACTAGTTCGAGTCCCTGTAGCTTCACTTCCTATCTAGGTCCCTGCTAATGCACCTGGCAAAGCAACAGAAGATGGCCCAAGTCCTTGGGCCCCTGTACCCCATGTGGGGAGACCCAGAAGAAGCTCCTGGCTCCTGGCTTCAGCCTGGCCCAGCCCCGGCTGTTGCAGTCATTTGGGGAGTGAACCAGCAAGATGGACAATATCTCTCCCTGTCTCTCTAATTCTGTCTTTCAAATAAATCATTACTGGGGTCAGCCTCCTAGATCTGGAACTAGTGGCTGTGTGCCCTGTAGGGACAGCTGGGATGACACTGAATGTCACAAGCAGAAAGGCTGGCGGGGAAGGGTCTCCCAGTAGGGAGCCTGCCGCCTCGGAGCCACTTCTCTGCCCCAAACATCATTACAAGTTCCTTCCTGGACACACAGGCCTGGCTGCTCGCCGCTGGGACAGCCAGTTGAGCAGAGAGGAGCGTTGGTAAGGGGAGAGAGCTCACTGGGTCCCAGATGTGCTCTCCCCAAATCTCTCTCCCCCCCCCTTTTTTTTTTTGACAGGCAGAGTGGACAGTGAGAGAGAGACAGAGAGAAAGGTCTTCCTTTTGCTGTTGGTTCACCCTCCAATGGCTGGCACGCTGCGGCCGGCACACTGCGCTGATCCGAAGCCAGGAGCCAGATGCCTCCTTCTGGTCTCCCATGGGGTGCAGGGCCCAAGCACTTGGGCCATCCTCCACTGCATTCCCGGGCCACAGCAGAGAGCTGGCCTGGAAGAGGAGCGACCGGCACTAGAACCCAGTGTGCCGGCGCCACAGACGGAGGGTTAGCCTAGTGAGCCGCAGCACTGGCCCCTCTCCCCTTCTGCCCCTGCTGACAGGATCCCCAGCCCAGCACTCGCTTTCCATCTGGTCCTCCCGGAGATGCTCGATCTCCTACTGCAATACTCACGAGGACAGGGTCCTGCCTGTCTCCTGACACAGCAGGAGCACAGTAAAAAGCGGATGGATTAGTTTAAGGCCCGTGGTATGGGCAGGCCTTTGGCCTAGAAACTAAGGCACCAGTGGGGATGCCCACATCCTTATCAGAACGCCCGGGTTCAAGTCCCAGCTCTGCTCCAGATTCCAGGTCCCGTTAGTGCACACCCTGGGAGCCTGCAGTGAGGGCTCCAGGGCCTGGGTCCCTGCCACCCAGGTGGGAGACCTGGGGAGGTTCCCAGCTCCTGGCCTCCTGCTACCCGCATCTGGGGAGTGAGTCGGCAGACGGGAGCACTGGTACTCTCTCGCTCTCTCTGCTGTTTGAGTTAAAAAGAAAGTACTTGGAGCCCTGTGGGAGCAATGACTCCCAGCCCAATCCCCAGGTAAAGCCAGCCTTTCTCCTGTACCACTGAGTGACTACAAGGCTGACCCTCAGCATCCACGCCTTCAGTTCTGCTGCTGGGAGCCTTGTATTGCTTTTCGGAGGTAAGCCTGGCTTACATTATAAACAAATGCAAGACATGTGGGTGTAAAATGCAATACTTAATGAACACAAGTATTTTTCCTTTCAGCATCCATCCCTCAAACAGCGGTTAGCAGTTTAGAAAAATGCAGCAACGACGCGCCAGGTTGCCCTGTGGGTGTGGAGAGCGTGGAGGAGTGGCTGCTTCTGCTTCCCAATCGTAGCACAAATCACGTGTGCGGCCAGGCCGGCCACTGGGGCTCCGCACAGCTCCCTTCGCACAGCAGACGGGCCTTTCGCTTCACACACACAGAAAGCTGGGAGGGTGCAGACCAGCCCCCCGCGTCCGACAGCTGTCCCGTCCCACCACAGCTGCTGTCCCCCGTGTGGCACCCTCCCCCAGGAAGAGGAGTCGCTGTCTGCAGGTGCCTCAAGACTCGAAGCCACGGCACCACCTTCACACCACTCTCCACCATCATCACATCAGGTCCCGAGTCACATTTCCAAATGCTCCGAGTGTCTCGCACGTGTTTTTCGTGTTTTTGTGACGAGGACGCAGTCATGGTTCGTGCCTTGCACATGGCTGTTGTGTGTCTGTGTGTCGCTGGAGGCACGCAGGACACTTTTCTAGCTCCTTCTGCGTGGGTTTGGCGGACTCCGCGTGGGGGCGTATGTCCCGACATCCGCCGTGTCCTCTGTGCGCCTCTGTGGAGCTGCCATCAGCGACAGGGCTCAAGTGGTCCCGGGAACTTGGCTTCCTTCAGTCAGAGTCGCATCAAAGGCGTCTCCAACAGAGATGTTTAAGCAGTTGTCTCCAACAGTGCTGTTAGGAGAGGGATTGTGGGGGCCGGCGCTGTGGCACAGCAGGTAAAGCTGCCGCCTGCAGTGCCGCCATCCCATATGGGCGCCAGTTCAAGCCCCAGCTGCTCCACTTCCCATCCAGCTCTCTGCTGTGGCCTGGGAAAGCAGTGGAAGATGCCCAAGTGCTTGGGCCCTACACCCACATGGGAGACCCGGATGAAGCCCCTGCCTCCTGCTTTGGCCCAGCCCGGCCCAGGGTGGCCATTTTGGGGAGTGAACCAGTGGATGCAAGATATTCTCTCTCCCTCTCCCTCCCTCCTTCTCTCTCTCTGCCTTTCAAATAAAAAGAAGAAGAAGAAGGAAGAAGGAAGAAGGAAGAAGAGAAGAAGAAGAAGAAGAAGAAGAAGAAGAAGAAGAAGAAGAAGCAGCAGCAGCAGCAGCAGCAGCAGCAGAGGGATTGCAGGAGCAGGCTGGGTGGGCCAGACAGGAGAGAGGACCCTCTGCCCAGGAGCTCTCCTCAGAGTGGGGAGGGGTCTTTCCCTTCACTTGGACCTGTACTCAGTCCTGTTCAGTGCCAAGGGAGTTTGGGCTGTTTTCCAAGAGTGAGCTGTGTGTGTGCCGAGGCGGTCTTGTGTCCTGGAGAGCCCTGGACCAGGCTGCACGCCACACCACCACATGACTCGAGTGCGGGCCTCAGAGCTGCCACTCACAGACGGCACAGCACTTAACGTGTGAGGGGTTTCAAAAAGTTCATGGGAAAACTAGAATTTCAAAGACATGTTTGTTTTGGTGCGAAATGTTTTGAAAGCCATGCACGAGGGTCTTTAGAAAGTTCACGGAGGGGGCAGGTTTTGTGATGCGGCAGGCTGAGCTGCTGCCTGCAATGGTGCCCCCCCCCCCACGGGCGGCAGCTTCACTCCGCCGAGCCAGCTCCCTGCTCATGTGCCTGGGAAAGCAGCGGACGAGGGCCTAAGTGCCTGCACCCACACGGGAGACCTGGACGGAGCTCCAGGCTCCTGGCTTCAGCCCAACCCAGCCTCAGACGTTGCGACCACCTGGGGCGTGAACCAGCGAATGGAAGATTCTTTCTCTCCTCCTCTGCCTCACTGGGACTTAAGAGAGCAGCCCATGGAAAACAGTCATGAGAAAAGCTGTGCCCTGCCACGCACTTCAGCCTGCAGCCACAGCTGGCTGCTGAGCATCTGAAATACAGGGAGGCCAGGTGCTGTACGGTGACCTACACCCTGGCGTTTGAGTACGTCAGTACAAAACAAAGACTACAAAACACCTCAACTACGTTGATGTTGATGGAGGCTGGTGCTGCAGCACAGCAGGTTAAGCAGTCATCTATGACACTGGCATCCCCTGTGGGTGCCAGCTCAAGTCCTGGCTGCTCCACCCGCCATCCAGCTCCCTAATGCCCCTGGGAAAAGCAGCAGAGGGTGGACCAACACCCCTGCACCCACATGGGAGACCCCGATGAAGCTCATGGCTCCCGACTTCAGCCTGGCCCGGCCCTGTGACCGGCGAGTGGCCACTTGGCAAGTGAACCAATGGATGGAAGATCTCCATCTCTGTGTGCGTCTCTCCTGTCTCTGAACTCTGCCTTTCAAATAAACAAGTAAGTAAATAAACCTTCAAAAACAGCATTTGGACATACTGGGTTGAATGAATTACCAGAAGCAGTTTTGTTTTGTTTTCTGTGTTTGAGTTGAACCCAGGGCTGGGGCTGTGGTGCTGCGGTTTCGGCCTCTCCTCGGGAGGCTGCCACCTCTCGTCGTGCCCGGGACTGCGTCTGCCTCTCCTTCCGACACCACCTCCTGCACACCTCGGGGGAAGGAACGCCTGTGCGGGTGGTGCGGCCACCCCAGGCACGGCTCAGCCTCTGGGCCCCCACAGTGTGAGGCTGTCACACCTGGGAGAGAAACCAGGGCCTCTGACCGCCAGCTCACGGAGGCTCAGGAAACGGCCAGCCAGCCACAGAGACGGTGAGCTCAGGAAGCGGGGACAGCATGGCTGTCGGGACACATGCTCACTGCTCTGGGGACAGGGAGGACCCGGCCTGGCTGCACAGCCCGTGTGAGCCGCAGGGTTGCTCGCTCGCCTCTCCAAGGGCACGAGGCGTCCACACCTGGCGTTCCTGGCCCGCAGCATGCTCGCAGGCTTCCTTCAGCCCAGCTCTTCTTGGAAGACAATGCAGGCATCAATGTAAAGAGCGGTTTCAGCTGTGTCACACGCGTTTATTACAGCTCCTGGGGAAGGCAGCACACAGCACCTGCTCCTCCGTCTTGCGTCGGCTCGGCAGCCTGCACAGCGAGCGCTCAGCAGCTCGGCTCCGCTTCCTTCTCGACGCTCAGGCAGCCCTGCAACACACAGCAGCGCTGGCCTCAGGCACGTTGCTAACGTAAGGGGGCGTCCGGGGGCTGCAGTGCACAGGGGCCCTTTGGATCTGCTGGTCGTGACCCACAGCCTCAACGAGGCATAGGTCAAAAACACGGGACAAATGCAGAGCTTGTCTGAAACGAGGCAAAGCACACGGACAGCTACCTGCACAGCACGTACACTGTGACGTAGGGATGAGTGGAAGTCTGAGGGGCCGAGCCTTCAGTCCCCTGGGAGTCCTGGGAGGCGTGCACAGCACTTTAGGAACTTTTGGCAGGATGCCAGTTGTAAGGCAGACAAAAACTTTCTTCTCACTTCTGGGTGTGGTGGCTACTTTGTTCACACACAGAGGAAACGCCCCGGCACCCCTTACGTGTGTTCACACACAGAGGATACACCCGGCACCCCTTACGTGTGTTCACACACAGAGGATACACCCGGCACCCCTTACGTGTGTTCACACACAGAGGAAACACCCCGACTCCCCTTACGTGTGTTCACACACAGAGGAAACACCCCGGCACCCCTTACGTGTGTTCACACACAGAGGCAGTGCCCGGCACCCCTTACGTGTGTTCACACACAGAGGAAACGCCCCGGCCCCCTTACGTGTGTTCACACACAGAGGCAGCGCCCGGCACCCCTTACATGTGCTGCTGCACCCTGAAGGTCACAGTCCCTGGTGGAGCACCCTGAGCAGTGCCAGTGACGCTGCCACGGGCTGCACGGTGACGTCTGTCAGCTGCAGCCTCTCCGGATGGCTCCATCCCCAGTGTGCCAGGGTTCCCAGCGCGACTGCGCATGACAGGGACAGGGAGAGGGATGTGGGCAGCTCAGAGGCCATGGAGTCACAGCGGATGCTACTTGGGGGATTTTCCACCACCCAAGGCTTGGTCCTCAAACTGAAACAGGAAGGATTAGCATGCCCCGGGCAGCCTCTGGGTGAGGGCCCAGGCAGGGGCAGAGCTGGACGGCCCGTTACTCCAAGGTGGAAAACTGTGCCTTGAGAAACGTTCTCTACATCCAACTCTGCTCTAGAAAATCACCCCAAACAACTTAACTTTCAAAAGGGAAGCATCTTTCCTTGTAAAAAGTGGGCTAAAGGAGACAGCAACGGTAAGAGTCGGGAGGTGAGGGTTAAGTAATGTGCATTGTTGTGTGATGATTCCTCAAGACACTGCTGTCCTGGCCTCCCTTAGAATCCTGTGCCACTGACACAGGCAGCGTTTTGCGGTGGCACACCACTCCTTCTGTGTGGCTGGGAGCAGTTCCACCCCAGAGCTAACACCACTGGGGTTTTCCTGGCCGGGCTCTTACACTACGTGAAATTCCTTACATGGGGCATTGCAAAAAGAAAAAAGCACTGTTACCTTGGCAACTGTGTTTTCTTTTGACATATTGTATTTTTTTTAAAAAAAGGTTTTTACCCCTCTTCGGAAGAGTCTGTAGAAGAAGTTTCTCTTTGGCTTATGGACTGAAGTGCGTCGTTTCTCCTCCACAAGCAGGTTTTCCTCACTTTCACTTTCATTGATGTCCTTGAAACACCCAGACTCGATCATCTGCATGCACAGAACAAGACAGAGAAGCCACAGCGGCCAGGACGTCAGCGACTCCTTCTGCAGCACCGCCCGCCCAGCGCTGCCCGGCTCCCGGCCCCCTTTCCTGGTTCCTTCCAGTTAACATCGTGGCCTCCTCTTCCTGCTCTCTGAGTGAACTCCCAAAGGGGCCACCGCGGAGGGAGCCCTGGCTGCCAGCCAGCCCCAGCAGCCCTGAGACGGCCACCCTGTGTCCACTCCCTGTGGGTGGCACCCAGGGCAGCTGCCATCCTTCTGGGGTCTGAGCAGTTGAGGGTGTGGTCCCTGGCTTGCTCATGGTCTCGCCCGGGGTCAGAAGTCTTGCATGTTAGAGTGTGGGGGCGGCACTGCTTCAGCACGTTCTGCTTCTAAAAATTCGGAGGTGCAATCAAATGCTACTAGCTTTTCTGATTTTCGGAAAGAAGCTATCTTAAGTATTAAGCCTTTTTTCCTTCCTGGGTAGTACTTACTAAACGACTTTTTGTATTTAGGCATTTGCATCAAAGTGCTGAACAAAATTAATAGCCACATGAACTCAACAATTTTAAAAGATATTTTGGAGAGGGCTGGGTATATAATTTTTAGCTCTATTTATACCCCAAAGTAGAAAAATAAGTATATATTTACTAGAGCTATCCAAAGATATAAAAACTAAAAAAGGAAAAGAATAAAAAAGTCCTGCACAATTTCATCTCTCTCTCTCTCTCTCTCTCTCTTCCCTCCTCCTCCCCCGTCATTGCTGGAAGCACTAGAGGCGCTCCCTGCTCCCTGTCCGGGAGGCAGTACCTCGTTCTGCCAGGGGATGGGGACACAGCCCGTAACAAACTGAGCGTAGAAGCTGCTGTCTGTGGTGTCCAGGTAGACTCCTTTGATGACAGAGAACTGCCCGATATCCAGGACATCCTTACAGTAAACCGAATGAGGCTGTGCTCCAGGAACAAGAGGCATCAACAGAAATTGAGACAATGCTTAGTTCTCTTCATTACAGACAACAAAATGCATTCAAACTCGTGCATAAACCCGCTACTATTCTCTCCACTTCTTTGCCAAGTCCCTCTTTCGGCCATTTTCTAATTCCTGCAGTCCCCAAGCTCTCCTCTCTGGGAGGGTGTCACAGAGCCTGTGGACACTGTCTGCTCCAGCCCCCCACCCCCCTTCACACACCTCTCCTGAGGACTAGCAATCTTGTCTGCAATGGACACCGGTTTGCCAACAAAGGCTGGGGACAGAGACCACAGGCCAAGGGAGCCACTGCTGAGTCCTCACCCCTGCCTCCAGCTCCCAGAGTCCTCTGGGAGAAGCAGCAGCTGGAGTCTGTGTGAAGAGAGCTCCCCAGATGGGTCAGGTGCCCACCCCTCCCTCTCTCAGCAGACCCTCCTCCAGGACAGGCGGCCAGGCTGCAGCCCCTTCCTGGCACTGCGGTCCTCAGGGGTAAGGAGCCAGCAAGCAGGCAGGGCACCAAGCTCGGGTCTCTGTCTCCTGCTAGTACAGCCATGTGCAGGTCTGGGGCAAGGAGCAAAGAGCCCAGAAATCCGCAGCCGTGGCACTGCACTGTCGCCTGCTCCCCCCAGCACTGCCTGCAGCCACTGCTTTTCTTCAGTTTCCCTGTGGCCTGGGGGGTGGCTGGGGAGCCAAGTGGCAGGCCCCGCCCTCAGGGCACAGTTCAGAGGAGGGCCAAAGCCCATGCTGCCCCACACAAGGGAGTCTTAATTCTGGGAAGGAACTACCTGACGTGTACACTGAACTGTGCTGTGAACAGCTCCCCACAGGCACTTGCCTGCACACACTCTGGGCTGGCCCACCCGCTGGCCTCATGCTGCCTACCCTTCTCAGGAACGTGCATGCAGCGTCTTCCCTAGAGCCCGCCCTCCTAGGTCCTGGTCACAGCCATGGCTGCGGTTGCCACCCTCCTGCACGGGCCAGGCTGGGCTCCCTAGCAGAAACCGTGCTTGTCTTCTCCTTCCTGTGGCTTTAGCACCTAGAGCTCTAGTGCCAGGCACACACCACGACTGCTAAGTCGTGTGTGAGTTACTTTCCCCACTTCACACTGCTCTACCCCATCTGTGGCAGCCTGGGAGGGGCCACTGGGACTCCCAGCAGCCCTGAGAGTGCAGGGTCCTGGGACGAGCACTGAAGAGCCAGGAGCTCTCCGGGCCGCCCAGCTCATTCAGGAGGATGAACAGAAGCACCCAGAGCCTTCAGTGTGCGGCCAGGCCTCAGGTCCATGTCCTCATGGACGCGGGGCGGGGACCAGCATTCCAGACTAAAGCAGCAGTGGGCCCGCACTGTGGCACAGATTAGCTGCCTCCTGAGAGGGTTGGCATCCCATATGCGTGCTAGTTGGAGTCATAGCTGCTCCACTTCCAATCCAGCTCCCTGCTAATGCACCTGGGAAAGCAGCAGAACATGGCCCAAGTCCTTGGACCCTGCCACCCACGTGGGAGACCCAGCTGGAGTTCCAGGCTCCTGCCTTCAGCCTGGCCCAGCCCTGGCCATTTGGGGAGTAAACCAGTGGGTGGAAGATGTGTGTGGGGGTGTCAATCTCTCTGCCTTTCCAATAAATAATCTTTTTTTTTTTTTTGACAGGCAGAGTGGACAGTGAGAGAGAGAGACAGAGAGAAAGGTCTTCCTTTGCCGTTAGTTCACCCTCCAATGGCCACCGCGGCCAGCGCGCTGCTGCTGGCGCACCGCGCTGATCCGAAGGCAGGAGCCAGGTGCTTTTCCTGGTCTCCCATGGGGTGCAGGGCCCAAGCATTGGGGCCATCCTCCACTGCACTCCCTGGCCACAGCAGAGAGCTGGCCTGGAAGAGGGGCAACCGGGACAGAATCCGGCGCCCCGACCGGGACTAGAACCCGGTGTGCCAGCGCCGCTAGGCGGAGGATTAGCCTAGTGAGCCGCGGCGCCGGCCCCCAATAAATAATCTTTAACAAAACAAAATGGCGTGCAAGTGGCCGGGCATGGGGACCAGAGGTGACGCCAGTTCTGAGGGCAGAGAGCAGACACTGGTGACAGGACGGCCTTGCCTGCTGAGGTGTCTGAGTGTAGGTCCAGGTGCCAGAGAGCCGAGGGGGGGCTGCAGTGGCAGCGGGTGCTGGGGGTGACTCAGCAGGAAGGACTGGGTGTGGCGGGCCCCACAGAGGAGAGGCCACACCTGGCTGTGTCAGGTGATCCGGATCTGCTTTTCAAAATGTGCCGCTCTGAGCAGCGGTGCTCTGGGCTCCTCTTGACAGCCCACTTACATCAGGGTAGAAGGGGGCAGCTAACAGGTGCACCTCCAGCCTGCTGAAGTTGATGTCCTGAAACACGGGGTGCCGCTTCACCCCCGCAGCTCCTTCGCCCCTGCAGCCCAGCCGGTCCTTGGGGTTCTTGGTGAGCAACTACGAGAGGCAGAGGTGGAGACGGTTAAGCCCCTAGCATAGCAGTGAAAACCCGAAAGTCCCTTCCAAAACAACAAACAGCTGGGGCGGCAGAGAGCAGAGCATGTAGACAAACTCAGTCACGCAAAGGATGGGGCGGGCCGCACACGCTCACTCAGGACCGGTCAGATCACGTGACACTTCACAGGAGCTGTGCTGAGGGCCTCCTTTGAGCTGCCACTAACATGTTGGCGAAGTTAATCATCAAGTAAAAAAATTTCAATCAAGCAAAAATTAGGGGAGTTTTTAAAGGAAACAGAAGGCTGGCACCACGGCGTAATGAGTAAAGCTGGTGCCACGTCTCATGTGACAGCTGGTTCAAGTCCCGGCTGCTCCACTTCCGATCCAGCTCCCTGCTAACGTGCCTGGGAAAGCAGCAGAAGAGGACCCGAGTATTTGGGCCCCTGCACCCACGTGAAGACCTGGAAGAAGCTCCTGACTCCTGGCTTTGGGTTGGCCCAGCAACAGCCATTGCAGCCATTTGGGGAGTGAACCAGCGGATGGAAGGCCTCTCTCTGTCTCTTGTAACTCTGCATTTCAAATAAGCAATAAAAACTTTAAAAACGGAAACTGAAACTATTGAGAAATTTGGAAATAGCATCTTAATGCTAAGTGACATTTATAGAGACCACTTTTATCCGGTCATTAAATACACCACGAGGACCTCAGATGAGGCAAAACCTTAGCAAACTTAGTACTAGAACTGTAATTTTTCCCTCTAGATTCCGAGGCCTGTCCCCAGAATTATTAATCTGTAAGGAGGGGCAGAATCTACACTTTTCCTTTTGCGCTAGCTAATTTATTTGTGAGACACACACATACCAGACACACACACACACACACACACACACAGATAAAGAGACAAACAGATGTGCGCTATCTGCTGGTTCACTCATAAGATGCCCACAATGGCTGAAGCTGGATCGGGGCCAAAACCAGGAACTCAATCCAGGTCTCCCGATGGGTGGCAGGGACCCAGTGACTCGAGCCATCATGCTGCCTCCCACAGTGCACGCGCTGACATAAGGCTGGAGTCAGGAAGCAGAGCCAAGCATGCAGAGCAGGGTGTGGGTGTGTAACCCCTAAACCCAACACTCACTCCTTAGAAACTGTGATATTCTTAGACCTAGCCAAGTGTTTCTAAAGTATTCCTTACATGCACACTTACAATGGTCACAGACTCAAATTAGCCTTCTTGCGCAACTATTATCAATCAAAGAAGGCTAGGCTGTGCAGCAAGGCCTCGCACTAACCATCTGGGGCGCCATGGGGAAGCCCAGAGACCAGGGAGCTGCAGCCACGGGGCTGCACGGCACCAGCCGCCTGACCAAGAGGTTTTCTGGGTGCATCGTACGCTGCTGCTGCTGCAGGGAGAAGCTGAGGTAATGCAGACTGCCTCCCCTCTGGAAAACTTTGCTAGCCCCTGGGCCGGGTGACATCCACACCCAGGGCTTCGCTAAACACAAACCCAAGTCCCAAGACCAGAACCGTCCTGGTCCCAGCGGATCTGCCAGGCTCTGCCTCTCACCCCACCCCACCCCTCTCTGAGAGTCCCACCTCTCCTTCCCCAGAGAGGGGCCATGCCCACCGCAGGGCTTGTGTCTGGGAAATTCTTTGCCTTGCAGCCCCTCAGGACTAGGCTCCCCGCTCCTCTGACAGCCTCGCAGCACCCCTACTCCTATGCGACACGTTCACACCAGATGGAGTAAAGCACGTGACGACTGTTTAATGCCAGTCTTTCCATTAGGATGGAGCTTCCTGAGACCACAGAGAGACACTTCTGCTGTCCCATCTAAGGATTTTGTCACAGCAGCCGGACAGACTGACAAATGGCCTGCCCTGGACCCGTGGTTTCCAAGCCTGCTTCTAACTCTGAGCCCCGACTGTGGGGCTACGAGAATAATACAGAACCCCCCTGCGAGGATTAACGAGGGAATGTATAAATGATAAACAGGTATCCACACAGCAGGTTCGTTCCATCTCCCTTTTGGGTTACTGTAGGAAGCCAACTAGCTACGCTCTCTGCTCTTGTCTCCATTGCACACACGCGCAGCACTCTAACCACAACCAAGCACAGCTTCCTCTCCAGGAAAGGCACAGAGCGCACTGGCCGCAGGTGGGACGCAGTGCCCTGCTGGCTCCCCCGGTGACACTGGGGCACGCGCCTCTCTGCAGCACTTGGCCCAGGCACACTGCCTCGCTCAGCAGGCACCCCAAACTCCCCACTCCCTGCTCTGGTTCAATCACTCCGCATCCTGAGATGCCTCCCCTCAGTCTGTTTTTTGGAGATTTAATCCATTCTTGAAGAACTAATCGTTGGGGCTGGAACTGTAGTGCAGCATTTAGGCTGCCACCTTTGACTCGAGCATCCCATTCGAGGGTCCACTGGAGTCAAAGCGCTCCACTTCTGATCCAGCTCCTGCTAGTACACTTGGGAAAGCAGCTGAAGATGTACCAAGTGCTTGGGCCATCTTTTTTAAAATAAAGAACTAGTTATTTCAGAGAGAGAGAGAGAGAGAGAGAGAGAATCTTCCATCTGCTGGTTCACTCCTCAGATGGACACAACAGTTGGGGCTGTGACAGGCCAAAGCCAGAGCCTGAGACTTCATCCGGGTCTCCTACATGGGCAGCAGGGGCCCAGGCACTTGGCCGTCTTCCGCTACTTTCCCAAGCACATTAGAGGGAGCTGGATTGGAAGTGGGGCAGCTGGAACACGAACCAGCGCCCACATGGGATGCCAGCATCACAGGCAGTAGCTTTCCTGCTATGCCACAACACCGACCCCAGGGCTGTGTGTTGTGAAACATTCCACATGCACGATTTCACTGTATTCTCCTCCACATTTCATGGCTGAGAGGCTGAGCTGAGACAGAGCCGGTGGCGGCCCTGCTCTGGAGCAGGTTAGTGCTCCTGCTCACAACACTGCCTGCCAGACCCCACCTTCCTCGTCAGTGCTTCCAAGGCAGTGGGCTTCTCCTCCCCAGAAAGGCACCTGCCCGTCTGTGGTGCCCATCACAGCTGCCTTCTTACCAGAGCCGTTACCACATTTGGTTTAGGGCCAACACCACCCCCTGAGCTCCCTGGGGCGGCCTCGTCTCCCACATTATGCTCATATGGCACCTTCCTGCAGCCTGGCAGGTCCTGTGTGGAGAAGCACCCTGCGTCTGTCACACTGGACACAAGCTTGGTCAGCTCCAAGCAGAGTGAGCCGGCTGGCAGGAAGGCCCAGGGCAGGACTGTAACACAGGCTGCTTCACAGACGACAACACCAGCGAGGCTGCTCTGGGCCATTCCCAACCCACACACGTGTGTGCTCGCACACTTCAGTGCTGGTGTAACTGCTGGTGAACACACGCGTGTGCTCGCGCGCTTCAGTGCTGGTGTAACTGCTGGTGAACACACGCGTGTGCTCGCGCGCTTCAGTGCTGGTGTAACTGCTGGTGAACACACGCTCGTGCGCTTCAGTATTGGGTGTAACTGCTGGTGAACACACGCGTGTGCTCGCGCGCTTCAGTGCTGGTGTGACTGCTGGTGAACACACGCGTGTGCTCGCGCGCTTCAGTGCTGGTGTAACTGCTGGTGAACACACGCTCGTGCGCTTCAGTATTGGGTGTAACTGCTGGTGAACACACGCGTGTGCTCGCGTGCTTCAGTGCTGGTGTAACTGCTGGTGAACACACGCGTGTGCTTGCGCGTTTCGGTGCTGGTGTAACTGCTGGTGAACACACGCGTGTGCTCCCGTGCTTCAGTGCTGGTGTGACTGCTGGTGAACACACGTGTGTGCTCGCGCACTTCGGTGCTGGTGTGACTGCTGGTGAACACACGCGTGTGCTCGCGCGCTTCAGTGCTGGTGTAACTGCTGGTGAACACACGCGTGTGCTCGCGCGCTTCAGTGCTGGTGCAACTGCTGGTGAACACACGTGTGCTCGTGCGCTTCGGTACTGGCTATAACTGCTGGTGAACATACACGTGTGCTCGTACGCTTCAGTGCTGGTGTAACTGCTGGTGAACACACGCATGTGCTCGTGCGCTTCAGTATTGGGTGTAACTGCTGGTGAACACACGCGTGTGCTCGCGCGCTTCGGTGCTGGTGTGACTGCTGGTGAACACACGCGTGTGCTCGCGCGCTTCGGTGCTGGTGTGACTGCTGGTGAACACACGCGTGTGCTCGCGCGCTTCGGTGCTGGTGTGACTGCTGGTGACCCCTGCTCAGAAAACAACCATGGGCAGAAGAGAAAAGCTTTCCTATTTCAAAATTTCAAAGGTTAGTTTTATGTTCAATTTTATATAAAATTCGTCAATGAAATGAAACAGCTTCGCTGTGTCTGAAGACAGAATGACCGTGGTACTACTCTTCCCTTTCAACACCATCTTTTGAGAAAGCAAAGAATGATCCTCTCTCTGTTTGCTCTGACTCGTGAGAAACCCAGTCAAAAGGGAAATAAACCGCACAGAAAGACAAATACCACCTGTTCTCCCTCATATGTGGAAGCTAAACTCAGTCTGAACACAGAATACTGACTCATAGAGGCTGGGGGCCTAGGGGAGACAGAGTAGTTTGGATCATGAGCACCCAATCAGGAACCTGAAGCAATAAGCTCCTAGTGTCACACAGCATGCTGGGGGTCTAAAAACAGAACATAGTTTATAGCAAACAAGAAAGGAACTCCAAGGCTCCAATCAAAAAGCAGTGTCAAGGCCAGCGCTGTGGTGTAGCAGGTAAAGCCACCGCCTGCAGTGCCAGCATCCCGTATGGGCGCTGGTTCTAGTCCCGGCTGCTCCACTTCTGATCCAGCTCTCTGCTATGACCAGAAAAAGCATTAGAAGATGGCCTAAGTCCTTGGGCCCCTGAACCCACGTGGGAGACCAGAAGAAGCTCCTGGCTCCAGATCAGCGCAGCTCCAGCTGTTGTGGCCAATTGGGGAGTGAACCAGGGGATGGAAGACCTCTCTCTCTCTTCCTCTCCTTCTCTCTCTGTGTAACTCTGCCTTTCAATTAAATAAATATATCTTAAAAAAAAAATCAAAGAAAAACAAACGTTTGTCAGTACACACTGGATACACATATTGAAATGTATCACTAAAGCCCATTCATGTGTATATTAATTGTGAAAAAAATTTTTTGAAGACTATAGAAAAAGGACAATAGTACAGAACAGTGAAGTTATGGTGTATGAAAATAAGTGTTAATCTTCTGTCATAATAGCTGATACCAAATCTTGACAGACGTTCATTACTTAAAAATTGGGGCCGGCGCCGCGGCTCACTAGGCTAATCCTCCGCCTAGCGGCGCCGGCACACCGGGTTCTAGTCCCGGTCGGGGCTCCTGATTCTGTCCCGGTTGCCCCTCTTCCAGGCCAGCTCTCTGCTGTGGCCCGGGAGTGCAGTGGAGGATGGTCCAGGTGCTTGGGCCCTGCACCCCATGGGAGACCAGGAAAAGCACCTGGCTCCTGGCTCCTGCCATCGGATCAGCGCGGTGCGCCGGCCGCGGCGGCCATTGGAGGGTGAACCAACGGCAAAGGAAGACCTTTCTCTCTGTCTCTCTCTCTCACTGTCCACTCTGCCTGTCAAAAAAAAAAAAAAAAAATTGGCATATCAATTTTCTACTGCCTATTAAAACCCAATCTCATCTGAAAAGTCCTCATACAAACAAGGGCATTTTATTTATTTATTTATTTATTTATTTATTTATTTATTTTTGACAGACAGAGTGGACAGTGAGAGAGAGAGACAGAGACAAAGGTCTTCCTTTGCCGTTGGTTCACCCGCCAATGGCCGCCGCGGCCGGCACGCTGCTGCCGGTGCACCGCACTGATCCGAAGCCAGGAGCCAGGTGCTTCTCCTGGTCTCCTATGGGGTGCAGGGCCCAAGCACTTGGGCCACCCTCACTGCACTCCCTGGTCACAGCAGAGAGCTGGCCTGGAAGAGGGGCAACCGGGACAGAATCCGGCACCCCGAACGGGTCTAGAACCCAGTGTGCCGGTGCCGCAAGGTGGAGGATTAGCCTAGTGAGCCGCGGCGCCGGCCTCAAACAAGGGCATTTTTAAAAGTTCACAGAAGGGGCTGGCGCCACGGCACAGTAGGTTGGTCTTCCACCTGCAGTGCCAGCATCCCATATGGGCACCGGTTCTAGTCCTGGCTGCTCCTCTTCTGATCCAGCTCTCTGCTGTGGCCTGGGAGAGCAGTGGAAGTTGGCCCAAGTACTTGGGCCCCTGCACCCACGTGGGAAGACCGGGGAAGAAGCTCCTGGCTCCTGGCTTTGGATAGGCGCAGCTCCGGCCCTTGCAGCCATTTGGGGAGTGAACCAACGGACGGAAGACTTTTCTCTCTGTCTCTTCCTCTCTGTCTATAACTCTACCTGTCAAATAAATAAATAAAATCTTAAAAAAAAGTTCACAGAAAATGCATATTATGAAAAAATGGGTTTCAAAAAAGTATTCTTTTTTTTTTTTTTTTTTTGACAGGCAGAGTGGACAGTGAGAGAGAGAGACAGAGAGAAAGGTCTTCCTTTGCCGTTGGTTCACCCTCCAATGGCCGCCGCGGCCGGCGCACCGCGCTGATCCGATGGCAGGAGCCAGGAGCCAGGTGCTTTTCCTGGTCTCCCATGGGGTGCAGGGCCCAAGCACCTGGGCCATCCTCCACTGCACTCCCTGGCCACAGCAGAGAGCTGGCCTGGAAGAGGGGCTACCGGGACAGAATCCGGCGCCCCGACCGGGACTAGAACCCGGTGTGCCGGCGCCGCTAGGCGGAGGATTAGCCTAGTGAGCCGCGGCGCCGGCCTCAAAAAAGTATTCTGCTCCCAAATAAACTTATCTGTTAATTCCAGTTTCAGGGTTGGTGCTGTGGCATAGCAGGTTAAGCTACCACCTGCATCATTGGCATCCCATGTGGGCACCAGTTTGAATCTCGAATGCTGAACTTCCAATGCAGTTCCCTGCTGTGGCCTGGGAAAGCAGTGGCAGATGGCCCAAGTGCTTGGGCCCTGCACCAAGCGGGAGACCTGGAGAAGCTCCCGCTTCAGTCTGGCACAGACCTCTCTACTGCAGCCATCTGGGGAGTGAACCAGAGGACGGAAGACCTCTCTCTCTGCCTCTGTCTCTCCCCGGCTGCAACTCTGCCTTTCAAATAAATAAATAAATAAAGCTTTTTAAATTCCATTTTCCCATGAACTTTGTGAAGTATGTGTTTCAACGATCAGTCTGTGCTCTGACTTCCCTCAAAATTCTGGCTATATCAAGACTGTGGCGTAATCCCATCTTATTTGCATATATACGTATTTGAGGAAAAGGCACTGTGTAAGCTTTTCAACAACATAGAACTCCTATTTCATGTGTGATCTTGCTGTGTCTAAATAGCTTTCTTACAGGAATTATACAATAAATACCTTTAAAACGGTTAGAAGAAGAAGAAGGGTAGAGCAGTCAAGACGCCCTTGGAATGCTACATTCCGTGTCAGGGTGCTTGCTTGGAGTCCCAGCTCTACTTCCAAGTCACCTTCCTGCTACTGCACGCCTGAAAAGCGGCAGTTGATGACTCAAGTACTTGTTTTTTTGTTTTGTTTTGTTTTGTTTTTGACAGGCAGAGTGGACAGTGAGAGAGAGAGACAGAGACAAAGGTCTTCCTTTGCCGTTGCTTCACCCTCCAATGGCCGCCACGGCCGGCGCGCTGCGGCCGGCGCACCGCGCTGATCCGAAGCCAGGAGCCAGGTGCTTCTCCTGGTCTCCCATGGGGTGCAGGGCCCAAGTACTTGGGCCATCCTCCACTGCACTCCCTGGCCACAGCAGAGAGCTGGCCTGGAAGAGGGGCACCCAGGACAGAATCCAGTGCCCCACCCCGCCCCGACCGGGATTAGAACCCGGTGTGCCGGTGCCGCAGGCAGAGGATTAGCCTATTGGCTCAAGGTCTTGTATCCCTACCATCCATGTGGGGGACCCGACTGAGTTCTGGTTTCCTGGCTTTGGCCTGCATGTTAAGGACATCTGGGAAGTGAACCAGCAGGTGAAGGTCTTTGTATGTCTCTCTCTTTCAAACAAATGAAGCTAAATAAATACAAATCAAAAACAACAACAACAAAACACAGGAGCCCGGTGAAGTCCTTCGGCAGATCAGGACGGTGGGTGCGGGGCTGGGCCAGGCCTAGGGGTGAGTGCACTGCTAAGTGCCAGTGAGAAGGCCCAGACCGGGCCAGAGGTGCCGCGCCCGGCTCGGTGGGGCCTGACCCACCATCCTGCAGATGGACCTGGCATCCGCGGAGAACTTGGCGGAATAAACCTCAGTGTCCGTCTTCACTCTGCGCTCGATCTCCTCCCGCTTCACCTTCTCCTTGAACTTCCTGAACGGAGAATGCCCCTGGATCATTTCATAAATCAGACAGCCAAGCCCCCACCAATCAGGGCTAAAGGTGTAGTTTTCATTATCGATAACTTCAGGAGCTACGTAACAAACACAGGGAATTTAAGGTAAGCTGTGGTGTTAAACTTATAATTAATTCCAAATCGTACACTGTAGCTTTAATGTTGGTTACCACATGGATGAACCTTAGACACGTGTTAAGTTTAAGAAGTCAGTTACAAAGAGCCAGATATCACATGACCCCATTTATACTAAAAAGAGCAGACAAATCCGCAGAGACACGGATGGCAGGAGGAGAAAAATGGGGAATTTTGAATTATAGAGTGCTGATTGCACAACTCCATGAATACAATAAAACCCCAAGAGAAATGAGACGCTTCACACTGGCAGGCCTTGTTACGTGAAGCATCTCAACGAAGCTGTCTGCCTTCTACCTATCCCTGCTGGAGAACCGGCGTGGGAAAACGGTGCCACAGAGAACCTCCCGCTGAGGGCACCCAAGGGCACTGCCACCTGTTCCCAGGCCAAGGAGCCCAGAAGCCCAGGACGTGGGGTTTCCTGCAGGGCTCTCAGGTTAGCCCTGAGGGTGGGCCGGCAGTGCCCACAGACACTGCAGTAACCAGGGTGGGACAATTCCCTAGGGGGTTTGAGAGGCCAGGGGGGTCTATGAGGCTCACGTGCACAGGGCAGGACACGGACAGAGTGAGGAGACCGCAGCCTTGACCTGCGCTGCTCTTACTCAGCCACATAACCTCAGGCCCCAGAGCCCTCCGCGGGCCTCCCTCCTCATCTGTCAGAAGAGAAGGGCAGACAGGGAGACCCCCCAGCAATGCTGACACCGCCCTGGCGAGACCTCATGCCACCACGGCACCACCCACAAGTATCCCGGAGCCCGGTGTCCTCGGCGGCCTCTGCATGCTCTGACGCCTGGGAGAAAGGACCAGGACGCCTGAACAAGTCTCCCACGTACCCATGTAGCCGACTGTTCCGACCCTTCCTCGAACTGTCTCCCCTTCCGGGACCTCCAGGGCCAAGCCAAGATCTGAAATCCGGATATGTCCTGTGTGCGTTCAAATACGTTACAGAGATCACAGGAGGAAGTAATGATACTTTAGCAACAACAAAATTGGGGGAGAAACGTCACCTTAAAAATCATGGATGGAAAAGCGGCATTCCACGCTGTGAGAACATTACAACCTACAACTGTCCGCACTTCTCACACTCAGTGAGACTCCACGCAGCACGCTGTCTCACTGACAGCAGGAATCAGACTGACGCCTGCCTGGCTGTGGATCGGGGAGCCCCGTAATCTCTGACTGACTTGGTCAGATAAGAGCAGGGAGTTACTCTTTCTTTCCATAAATACGTAATGAATTCCATATCAACTACAAAACAGCAAGTACTCTGTGCCAGACCAGCAGTAGTGTGTGTACAGGGTCGACTATCCACACATAGCCCGGGGTTTTCTCTGGAGAGCACACGGCAGCAGCCAGGGACATAACAAGAGACACCAAAGCACTTCACTGCAAGAACTGCATTACGTGTGGTGCCTGTTCTTAGGAGAATTTAAGCATTTACTGACTCTCTATGAAATAACAGCATAGGGGCTGGTGCTGTAGCACAGTGGGTAAGGCCACCGCCTGCAGTGCCGGCACCCCATAGGAGCAGTGGTGCCAGTCCCGGCTGCTTCACTTCCCATCCAGCTCTCCTCTGTGGCCTGGGAAAGCAGGAGAAGACGGCCCAAGTGCTTGGGCCCTGCACCCATGAGGGAGACCCAGAAGAAGCTCCTGGATCCTGGCTTTAGCCTGGCAAAGCCCTGGCCGCTGCAGGCATTTGGGGAGTGAACCAGCGAGTGGAAGATCTTTCTCTCTCTATTTCCCTCCCTCTGTGTAACTCTGCCTTTCAAGTAAATAAATATTTTTTAAAAATTAAAATATAGTCAACAGGCAGCAGAGGCCTGTGATTCCCCAAGGATGAGAAACAGCGAGCTGACCCTAAAATCACCCTGATGAACCCGGGAGTGCTGCTCAGAGGGCGGCACGTGGGCAGAGCAGATGTCTTACTAAATTAAGGAGACAGAGATGAGAATTTGAGAAAAAGGGGTCAGCTCAGATCTGAGGGGTAAAGTTCCGAGAGGAGGGAGCTATGCAGAGAAAATCTAACTACAGCTAACAGGGCGTCCTTAGCTGCATGCCGTCTGCTCCCCGCCCTGTGCAGGACAGCCCCAGGGCATTCGATGGAGCCCCCAAGTTAATGGTGGTTGGCACAGGTCCTCCAGCCCCACCCAGAGATGCGAGTCACCTGCCTGGACTGGAGGAACACTCCTACAAGTATGCTTCTTGGACTGCAATGGACAGCCTCTGGCTGTCTGCCCAGAGGCAACAGACCCCTCAGGAGGGACTGATGTGCTCAGCAGCTGTGGGCCTACCTGAGGTGCCCGCCCACTGCTTCCCTGCCCAGCGTTCAGCAAATCTGCGTGGCTCTGTGTGGCCGGGGCAATTCTTCCAGCACCCGCACAGCTGGCCTGCGGGTCCCTTCCCACCACATGTCCTGCTCCCCCGATGTTCCTCAGGGCTTGGTTGGCCCTTGCTTTGTGTTTCCTCTCCTCTTACTCCCTCTCTGATTGACACAAAGGGCAGCGCACCGCATGCAGCTCTGCACTGAGGTCCGAGGCCACCCCATTTCCCACAGGGCACGCCTGCCTTTCCGCAGCTGCACACAGCTCTGCACAGGCTCAGTCACCAGACAGGGACACAGCTGTGGGAGGCCACCTCCCAAGTCTTGGAATCACCTCCCGTTCAGTGAGAACATTCCGTGCATAAACGAGGGAACAGGCGGGAAAGCCCTGGGCAGGTATGACAGCGGCAAGGCCTTCATGGGATCCCTGTTTCTCTCCAGCAGGAGTGACTGTGGCCTTCTCACACGCTCTCACTAGACCCTGTCTTAGCCAAGAAAATCACTATAAACAGCTCCCCTCCGACGCTGCTTACTGCAGCCATGACATTCTAGATACGATCATCACACAGGAAAACCAGGGCCTGAGTGGGCCTCCTGCTGCTGGCAAGGAGGCAGCCCCCAAAGGCCCTACTCTCCACCGCAGGTCCCATGCGGCCATCGGCACCCTGCTCTGTGGTGTGCCGTGTGACAAGGCAGCACTCAGGGCAGTGGGCTAACCTGAAAATCGCAATCTGATGTGAGTCCCCAGCGAGAAACTGTGGAGAGAAGACGGGCTTGCTTTGGGCTTATTTTCACACGCTTTACAATTCTGTCATGAGCTGAGAATTCTGACCATCTGTGCTTCTTGCCTAAATGCAGCGGAATGGCAACACTATTTATCTGTCCATCCATCCATCTAGCTACGCAGCTATGTCCCCGGGTATCTATCTTTGCTGTTGTTTCCGTCCTCAGTACCTGGCTAGTGCACACTAACTTCCTGTACACGAGTCCCTCTAACAGGTGGGAGGTTTGCTCACTTACCGTGGTCGTCCAGGAGAATATTCTCAGGCTTTAAATCTCTACCAGGAAAGAAAACAACACAATGCTCAGTTATTGCGAAGTTGGCACTGTCATCGCGAGTGCTACAGAGAAACACCCAGAGACACCCGCGGGGAGGGCAGCCACTGCGGGGAAACACCCGGAGACACCCGCAGGGAGGGCAGCCAGGAGGGCAGAAGGTGAGCCGTGCACCTTGTGAGCCGTGCCTGTTGTGAGCCGTGCCTGTTGTGAGCCGTGCACGTTGTGAGCCGTGCCTGTTGTGAGCCATGCACATTGTGAGCCATGCTTGTTGTGAGCCGTGCCTGTTGTGAGCCGTGCACGTTGTGAGCCGTGCACATGGTGAGCCATGCTTGTTGTGAGCCATGCACGTTGTGAGCTGTGCCTGTTGTGAGCCGTGCACATTGTGAGCCATGCACCTTGTGAGCCGTGCCTGTTGTGAGCCGTGCCTGTTGTGAGCCGTGCCTGTTGTGAGCCATGCACGTTGTGAGCCGTGCACCTTGTGAGCCATGCATGTTGTGAGCCATGCACGTTGTCACAGGCTTGGGCAGCCACGTGTCAGGACAGGAATTCTACAAAATTCATCTCAACAAGCTACATGTGACAGTGTGAAATGAATGCCCGGCATGGTTATGCAGATTTGAAGACATTGCAATGACAAGGAAAGCAAGCAGTCCTTAGGAACTCAGCGCTGGGCCAGGTTGGGCCAGGTGTTAGTTACAGTGCAATGGGTTAAGCTGCCACTCTGACATCTGCATCCCATATCAAAGCACCAGCTGCAGTCCCAACTGCTCTGCTTCCAATCCAGCTTCCTGCTAATGTGCCCAGGAAGGCAGCAGATGATGGCCCCAGTAACTGGGCCCCTGCCCCCACACTGGAGACCTGGATGAAGTCCCTGCCACCTGGTTTTGGCCTGATCCATATCTGGCTGTTGTGGCCACTTGTGGAGTGAACCAGGGTATGGAAGATCTGTCTCTCCTTCCCTTTTTGTCCCTCTGCCTTTGAAATAAATTATTTTAAAAATAAAACCAAAACCCAGCTTAGTGGCGAGCACCGTGGCTCACTTGGCTAATCCTCTGCCTGCGGTGCCAGCACCCCGGGTTCTACTCCTGGTTGGGGTGCCGGGTACTAGTCCTGGTTGCTCCTCTTCCTGTCCAGCTCTATGCTGTGGCCCTGGAAGGCAGTGGAGGATGGCCCAAGTCCTTGGGCCCTGCACCCGCATGGGAGACCAGGAGGAAGCACCTGGCTCCTGGCTTCGGATAGGCGTGGCGCCGGCTTGGTGGCCATTAGGGGAGTGAACCAACAGAAGGAAGACCTTTCTCTCTGTCTCTCTCTCTCACTGTCTATAACTCTGTCTAAAAAGAAAAAAAAAAACAGCTCAGGGGTTGGTACTGTGGCACAGTGGTTAAGATCCTGCTTGGGACACCTGCATCCCATACTGCAGTGCTGGCTGGAGTCCTAACTGATCTCTTCTGACCCAGCTTCCTGCTAATGCACCCTGAGAGGTAGCTGACGATGGCCCAAGTGTTTGGAACCCTGGCTTCCACATGGGAGACTCCGATGGAGCTCTAGGCTCCTAGCCTCAGCTATTGTGGCTTTTGGGAGTGAATCAGCACATAAAGATCTCTCTCGCTCTCTCTCCCTGTTTCCCTCCCTCCTTCTCTCTCTCTCTCTCTCTCTCTCTCTCTCTCTCTCTCTCTCTCCTCTCTCATCCCTCTCTGTTGCTCTGCCTTTCTCCCACATGGGAGAGTTCAGAAGATCCTGGCTCCTGGCTTCTGCCAACCCGGCCCTGGCTATTACTGTCATCTGGGGAGTGAATGAATGGATGGAAGGTCTCTCCCTCTGTCTCTCCCTCTCTCTCTCTGTAACTCTGCCTTTCAAATAAATTTTTAAAATTAAAAAAAAAAAAAGCAATCAATCTGGGTCCCATTCTCCAGTCTGCTACTAGATTCTCAGTTACCCTCAGATGCAGAACACAGATGGGCGGCTGTGCTCTGCCCCCAGAGCACAGCTCACCTGTGGCCCACGCGGCCCTTACCTCACAAGACTGCTGGGGACATGAAATGACAATGGGTGCCAGAGTGACCTGAAACGTTAAGCTTCTACGACTGTTTTTAGTAAACATCTGGACCATTTCTGGCAACATTCTCTGTTATTCACACCACAGTAGGTGATTTCTGAGAGCACAATGCTACTTAGAAATAAAGTGAAAGAGCTCAGACTCTTACAGAAATTCTGACTCAACAACTGCTTTTTGGTGATTGACACCCTGTGTGCAGAAGACAGCAGCACAGAACACCCCCGATACCTACCGCACTGCTCCTGAACTGGCAGACCGCCTACTGTGAGAACACAGGCATGCAGAGACAGAGGTCTTCCACTCACTGGGTCTCTTCTCAAGCACCAGTAAGAGCCTGGGCTGAGCCAGCTCAAAGGCTGGAGCCAAGAGCTCCACCCAGGTCCTCCCCAGTCCTTGGACCATCGTCCACTGTCTTCCTTGGCATGGTAGCAGAAGCTGGGTCAGAAGCAGAGGAGCTGAGTCTAGAACCAGCACTGTGGTGTGGACGGGAGCGTCCCAAGTGGCAGCTTACTACGCTGCATCACAATGCCTGCCCGAATCTCCCCCAGAAGTCAGTCTAATTCTTTGAATCACACAGATCCACTTTTCTGAGAACAAAGTTATCGATACTTCAAAAACACTGTCAGCCAGCTCACTGCTTACTTTTGTGAGTACCACAAAGTGTTCATAGCCACTTATTTATTCCTTTCATGGTCATTCCTTTCATAGTCATTAATTAACCTACTTTAGAGGCAAAGGGACGGACTTCCCATCTACTGATTCACTCCCCAAATACCCACAACAGCTTGGGTTAGGCTAGAGCCAAAGTCAGACTCGGAGCCAGGAAATTCAGCACTTACAGGACAGGCGGAAAAAATCACTTTTGCCTAAAACTAAGCACTCTGGTTACACAAAACTAATTCTAGCAATTATGCTTAATTACTTTTTCTTTAATGAATTTTGAGACGCAAAAAAAATATTAGAATGTCAAGATATTTAATGTTATTTTCTGGGGATGTAGTGAGCATCTTTCAGAACTGACACAATATGTAAGAGCACTAGTTTAATCCACCAGGGTAACCTTTGGTTTCAAAAAGACAAGTTATAAGAGCTTAAAGAGAAATGAACATGGCCCATCTCGGACTGGACACACTTCCAGTGGTGGGAGTGACCACCCCAGGACTCGCAAACTGAGAGGCTGGCTCCCAGTGCCCTCTGCCCAGCCTGACAGTTCCTAGCGGGAGCAGAAACAGCGTCCGTGTGTGCAGGCTGCATCAGGCAGTGCCTTCTTACCTGTATACAATCCGTTCCCTCTGCAAATCCTCCAAACCGCAGCACAGCTCTGCAGCATAGAAGACGGCTCTCTGCTCATCAAAGCCAGGGTTGCCCAGGTTGTAAATGTGAAACTTCAAGTCCCCTCCATTCATGATGGTCAGCACCAAACACAGGGTGTCTTTGGTTTCGTAAGTGTAGGCTAAACTAACCTAAAGATAACAGCATCATAAAAAATAAAACACAGAAAAGATGTTCATCCATTGAAAATTTACTCAAGTTGCTAATAAAATTCACGTAATATGTACGCGTCAGAGAAAGGCACGCTCCACACCGTGGGCCCCTCGGACCCTCACCCACCGAGGACCTCACTGCAGCTCTGTGCTCAGAGACTTGCTATGTCCAACTGACGCCTGGACAGCGACTCCTCCAGGCTCTGCCTCACTCACTGGGCCACCAACGTCTGTGCGTTTGGACTTCCCACAGCTGCACCTGGGTGATGCCCCCCAGCAGGGCAAGTCGGGTCTTACAGTCCCAAAACTTCAAATACCCCGGGTGCTCAGTCTTCAGTTTGAGCCGGGCTGATGGAAGCATAGTGGTCTCTTATTGTGTTTTTTAAATTTTTTTTTCTTATTGTGGTTTTAACTTCTATTTCTGTGTATATGCAAATATAGGGGATACTTTTTCAAGCATGTATTAGTCAATTGGTTGCTCTTTTGTGAAATGCCTGTTTGTGTTTTTTTTTTTTCCCACTTTTCTATCCACTTTTAAGTCAATTTATACATATGCCACTGGGATTTTGATTGGGACTATATTTAATTCCTTAATCTGTAGCTCAAATGGAGAGAACTGACATTGTCACTGCATTTAGTCTTCCAGTCCAGGAACACGAATTTCCCCTATGTATTTAGGCCTTCTATTATTTCTTTTTTTTCTTTTTAAAGGTTTATTTATTTGAATATATATATATATATATATATATATATATATATATATGGAGAGAGAAAGAGAGAGAGACAGAGAGAGAGAGGTAGAGTCAAGGGTTCACTCCCCAAATGGCTGCAACTGGAGCTGAGCTGATCTGAAGCCAGAAGCCAGGAGTTTCCTCTGGGTCTCCCATTCGGGTAAGGGCCCAAGCACTGGGCCATCTTCCGCTGCTTTCCCAGGCCATAGCAGAGAGCTGGATCAGAAGTGGAGCAGCTGAGACGCAAACCAGCGCCCATATGGGATGCTGGCACAGCAGGCCACAGTTTAACCCACTGTGCCATAGCACTGGCCACTACAATTTCTTGCAATAACAACTTATAGTCCTGTGTGGAAGTTTTGAATATTTCTGTCATGTCTTTCCTAGATGTTGATGTTTCTTTATGCTATTATAAATGCAATCAGTTAAATTTTCTTTTCCTAATTGCTTGTGGCAGACTCACAGCTAATCCCTCAGCTAAGTCTGAGACTGTCCCCACTGCAATCATGCTATTGGAGAACAGTGACTGTTTGTTCTAAAACCTCCTTTCCTTCCCTTCTCTCTAGACCTAATCTCTCATTTTTGCCCTCATTGCCTCGGTTACAATCACTAACGCGGTGCTGAGCAGAAGTGGCGACAGCCGTGACGGCCTCACCCAGGCCCCGGGGGAGGACTTTCAGCATGTCCCATCACTGCGGATGTGTGCCAGAGGTTCTCTAGAGGACGCTTCCTTCACAGTTGGTACTTAGAGTTGTTCATCAATGATGGGTGCAGCTATTGAGAGGATAATATCTTTCCTTTATCCTGGTAATGTGATAAGTTACATTAATTTATTTTCATTCCTGGAATAAATCCAACTTGTTCATGATGCATTAAAATAGTAAGGGGGTGGGGCTGGCATTGTGGCCAGCCTCTGCCTCTGGTGCTGGCATCCCATATGGGCGCTGGTTCGAGTCCCGGCTGCTCCACTTGCAACCCAGCTCTCTGCTGTGGCCTGGGAAAGCAGTGGAAGATGGCCCAAGTCCTTGGGTCCCTGCACCCACATGGGAGATCTGGAGGAAGCTTCTGGCTCCTAGTTTCAGATCAGCCCAGCCCCAGCAGTTGCAACCATGTGGGGAGTGAACCAGCGGATGGAAAACACCTCTCTCTCTCTCTCTCTCTCTCTCTCTCTCTCTTTTTTTTTTTTTTTTTTTTTTTTTTTGACAGGCAGAGTGGACAGTGAGAGAGAGAGAGAGAGAGAAAGGTCTTCCTTTTTTTCCGTTGGTTCACCCTCCAATGGCCGCTGCGGCCGGCGCACTGTGCTGATCCGAAGCCAAGAGCTAGGTGCTCCTCCTGGTCTCCCATGGGGTGCAGGGTCCAAGCACTTGGGCCATCCTCCACTGCACTCCCTGGCCACAGCAGAGAGCTGGCCTGGAAAAGGGGCAACCAGGACAGAATCCGGTGCCCTGACCAGAACTAGAACCTGGTGTGCCGGCGCCGCAGGCGGAGGATTAGCCTAGTGAGCCTCTCTCCCTCTTTTTTTTTAAAGATTTGTTTGTTTGAAAGGCAGAGTTACAGAGAGGCAGAGAGAGAGAGAAGGGCCAGCACTGTGGTACAGTAGTTTAATCCTCCGCCTGCAGCACTGACATCCCATTAGGCATCTGTTCGAGTCTTGGCTGCGCCTCTTCTGATCCAGCTCTCTGCTGTGGCCTGGGAAAGCAGCAGAAGATGGCCCAAATACTTGGGCTCCTGCACCCATGTGGGAGACCGGGAAGAAGCTCCTGGCTCCTGGCTTTGGATCAGCACAGCTCTGACTGTTGCAGCCATTTGGGAAGTGAACCAGCGGATGGAAGACATCTCTTTCTGTCTCCACTCCCTCTCTCTTTCTGTAACTCTACCTCTTAAATAAAAATCTTAAAAAAAAAAGTAGTAAGAGAGAAAGTGCCAGCTGCAGGCAGAGGAGAAGAGTACAGAGAACAGAGGAGAGCGGATTTGGTACTGTGGCCACTGGGTGGCACGCAGCTGACCGCAGTTACATTACACAGTATTCCTCACTGGTCTTTCCCTTGGATTCACAAGGACCCCTTACCATCACCAGTCACTCACTGAGGACTTTCTCCCACACCAGGCCTGCTCCAAGCCCAGGATGCAGTGCTAACTAAGAAGACCTGGTCACGGTGGGGGTGGGAGACCGGGGCTGGGCGCATGACAAGGACGAGAGGGGACACTTACTACAAATCTGCTGTTCACTTTTTCTAGCAGTTTTTTCTCGTTCAAAGCCATGGCTTCACCTTTCCTCTTCTTTATTCTTTTTTTTTCTAGCTTTTTACAGGCATACATTTTTCCTGTGGCTCGCACTTGACAGGCACAAACCTAGGGGTGGTTTTGTTCAGAGAGAGAGAGAGAGAGAAATAGAGAGAGAAAGAGAGGCTTAGCCACTCCTGACATTTTTAAAAAAAGATTTATTTATTTGAAAGAGTTACAGAGACAGAGGGAGATCTTCCATTTGCTGGTTCACTCCCCAGACGGCTGCAAAAGCGCAAGCTGGAGGCAGGAGCTTCATCCAGATCTGCCATGTGAGTATAGGGCCTCCATCGCTTGGGCCATCTTCCACTGCTTTCCCAGGCCATTAGCAGGGAGCTGGATGGGAAGTGGAGTAGTGGGGACTTGAACCGGTGCCCATAGGAGATTTCTGCATGGCAGGCAGTGGCTTTATCTGCTATGCTGCAATGCAGGCCTCTGACCTTGACATTTCCTAGATTACACACAAGACTGTTCTCTGTGATACTTATTTCTGGTAAGATCCAGCAGTGGCCCCTGAGGAGCCAAGACCGCTGCAGTGGTGGACATGGATCCTCACTTCTTGTCCCTAGAAAACTGCTAGGAGAACAAAGTGAATTTAATTTTGTACTTCATAAATTCTAAGACAGGAACCAATGGAACAGGTTGCTCACAGGTGATCATGATGCATCTGTTTAAATACAACCCCTTACACCTATTTTATTTTTGTGCAAAAGAACAAAAGTTTTGGGCCAGTTTTTGGGTAGTGCAGCGGGTTAAGCTACTGTGTACAGTGCCAGCAGCCCATACCAGAGTGCCAAGTCAGTCTCAGATGCTCTAGTTCCAATGCAGCTCCCTGCTAATGTACTCGGGAAGGCAGCAGAAGATGGCCCAAGTACTTGGGCCCCTGCCACCCATGTGGGAGACCTGGATGACATTCTTAGCTCCGTGCTTCAGACTGGCCCCTTGCTTTAGCCTGGCCCTGCCCTGGCTGTTGTGGACATTTGAAGAGTGAGCAAATGAATGGAAGACATATGTGTGTGTGTGTGTGTGTCTGTCTGTCTTCTCACTGATGCTCTGCCTTTCAAATAAATAATAAATCTTTTAAAAATAAAAGCAAAAGTTTTCAAATATGAAACTAAAAAGATCCTTGATTTATTAAATTAAAAAGTTCAAGAATATAAGGAAATATGTTTCACAGAGTTCAGATTTTATATCATTATTTTATCTAGATAGTTCTTAAAGTAACATTTCTATGCTATTTTAACTTCACATTTTGAAAGTTTTCAAGCACACAAAAGTGGAGAGAGAAATAGTACATGAAGCTTCTTGTTAACATATGACTATCATGTTTCCTGTGACTCCAAGTATGGCACACACACACATCATATCACGCACACAAAACATACACATACACACACACAGGATTACTTTAAAAGCCAATACAGTGATGGTAAAAGTAACATAAAGTTTGGTGTGGAAAATACTGACAGTAATCAGGACAATGATTTAAAAAATTTTTAATTCCAGATCTTTGTCTGTAAACTTTGCTGTAAAGGCTTCTAAGTCCACATCTGTACACATGCATGCAAGAAAATATACTTCGCTCCCCTGTAACCTCTACCTTTTAGAGCAACAGTGGGCTCACACCACAGAGCAGGTAATGTTTCCTACCTTATCCTGTACTCACTGTATGACTATTTCCCCATCATCAAATGTTCTATTAAGAAATGGCTATTCAGGGGCGTAGCAGGTAAAGCTGCTGTCTGCAGTGCCTGCATCCCATGTGGGCACTGGTTCAGGTCCTGGCTGCTCCACTTCCCATCCAGCTCTCTGCCGTGGCCTGGGAAAGCAGTAGAAGATGGCCCAAGTCCTTGGGCCCCTGCACCCACGTGGGAGACCCAAAAGAAGCTCCTGGCTCCTGGCTTCAGATTGGTGCAGCTCAGCTCTGGCCATTGCGGCCATCTGGGGAGTGAACCAGCAGATAGAAGACTTCTCTCTCTCTCTCTCTCTCTCTCTCTCTCTCTCTCTCTCTCTGCTTCTCCTTCTCTCTCTGTGTAACTCTATCGAATAAATAAATCTTAAAGAAAAAAAAGAAGATAGCTATTCAGGGTCAGCACTGTGGCATAGTAGGTTTAACCCTGTGGCACCGGCATCCCATATGGGCACCAGTTCAAGTCCCTGCTGCTCCACTTATGATCCAGCTCTCTGCTGGTGGCCTGGGAAAGCAGTGGAAGATGGCCCAAGTGTGTGGGCCCCTGCACCCATGTGGGAGACCTGGAAGAGGCTCCTATCTCCAGATCGGCCCAGCTCCAGCTGTTGGGACACTTGGGGAATGAACCAACGGATAGAAGACCTCTCTCTGTCTCTCCCTCTCTCTGCCTCTCTGTTTAAGATATGACTATCTGAGGAGCAGTGCTGTGGCATAGCAGGTAAAGCCACCCCCTACTCTGCGGCGTTCCATATGGGTGTTGGCTCAAGTCCCAGTTGCCCCACTTGCAATCCAGCTCCCTGTGAATGCCTCCTTCTGAGATACCTGCTGCCCTTCAAGGCTGGGAGCAGAAGCGTCTGCCTATCTGCCTTCCCACTGCGCCTGCTTCCAAGTCACAGCCCAATTCTGGAGGGCTGAAAGCATGGCTGAGACAACTGCTGACAGAACAAGACCAGTTAGCTCTGACCTCACACACTGCAGGAGGTGTCAGTTAGGTCTGACCTCCCACACTGCAGGGGGTATCAGTTAGGTCTGACCTCCCACACTGCAGGGGGTGCCAGTTAGGTCTGACCTCCCACACTGCAGGGGGTGTCAGTTAGGTCTGACCTCCCACACTGCAGGAGGTGCCAGCGTTTGGGAAGCTATGTGCACCACTGGACTCTCAAGTGGGAGGGACCAAGAATGCGCCTGCTCTGGAGTCAGCAGGGCTCCTCCTGACCAGCACTCACTGTAGAAATGGATGGCCGCACTGCCCTCGGACCCTGGCCCAGCGTATACCACACCCAGAACACGTCCTTGAGGAATCACCATCGCCTGTTCACTCGTTTAATCATTTGTTGGAAACCAAAGTAAGTGTATTCAAAAGTAACCCACAAAATCTTCAATTCATCCAAATTCCCCCAAATTGCTTACACTGGCAGGAGAGTTTAGCCTGACAGTTTGAGCCACCTGTTAGAGGCCCACGTCCTGTATCCGAGAGCCAGGGTTGATGCCTGGCTCCCGGGAACCGCATGCATGCCGGCGATGAGCGTTCTAGCTCACTCTCTATACACCTGTCCTGCTGTATCCCTCAAGCGAATAAAAGAATTTGCTAACATGTTCTACTGAGTCCATTTAAGAAGGTCTCGTGTGACTATTGGAACACTGTTTTGCAAACGTAAGACCCATGTCCCTTAAACCTCTTTTCCTTTGTTCCTCGACAAAATCCGAGTCTTTACCCTTAGAGATCGTGGAAGGCAGAACAGGATGAACTGCAGAGAGGAAGCACGATTCCTGCTCTAGGATGTATCAGACAGGATGGTTTCCTAAAGATATCCTCCACGGAAGAGCTCCTACGAGCGTGCGGTCGGGGAGGCGAAGTGTCGTAAAGCATCTCCAGGACGGCAGCAGCAGCACGGCCAGTTCTCCTGAAGTAGCGGCCGTGATGACCGATTTCCTACCAGGCCAACTGCGAAAGGACTGCAGGCCTCACCCATAGTGTGCTGCCTCTCGGGTCAGCTTTCTAACTCACTGGGGAATTTAAGTACATTTGTCTAGCCTTCTCCTTACTCCAGCATACAGTGTTAGCGCTCTGAGGGCTACAAGAGGTGAGCTCCACCACTCCAGGGCGTTGCTGAGGTAACTAACATCTCAGAAGACAGCATGCTGGTCTGACCCCCCTGCACGGTGGTCTCCATGCAGGACAGCCATCCTGGGGCCAGCACTATGGCTACCGGGTAAAGCCACCACCCGCGATGTCAGAATCCCATATGGGCTCTGGCTTGTGTCCTGGCTGCTCCACTTCTAATCCAGCTCCATGCTAATGCTCCTGGGAAGGCAGTGGAAGATGGCCCCAGTGTTTGGGTCCTTGTCACCCACATGGGAGACCTGGCTTCTGGCTTCAGCCTGGCACAGCCCTAGCCATTGTGGCCATCTGGGAGTGAACCAGCTGATGGAAGATCTCTCTCTCTCCCTCCTCTGTAACTCTTGACTTTCATATAAATAAATAAATATTTTTAAAGAAATTATCTGTTATGAATCAGTGGGTAGGTTTCTTAGGATCTGCCCAAATTACTACTTTTTTTTTTAAAAAAAGATTTATTTATTTATTTATTTGAAAGAGTTACACAGAGAGAGGAGAGGCAGAGAGAGAGAGGTCTCTTCCATCCATTGGTTCACTCCGCAATTGGCCGCAATGGCTGGAGCTGCGCCAGTCTGAAGAAGGACCCAGGAGCTTCTTCTGGGTCTCCCATGTGGGTGCAGGGGCCCAAGGACTTGGGCCATCTTCTACTGCTTTCCCAGGCCATAGCAGAGAGCTGGATCGGAAGTGGAGCAGCCGGGACTAGAACCGGTGCCCATATGGAATGCCAGCGCTTCAGGCCAGGGTGTTAACCAACTGCACCACAGCACCGGTCCCCAAATTACTACATTTTTAAACATATTTTGACATAAGTGCAGCATATATCCAAATACAGTTACATTAAATAAGCATATTTAACAATGTAGCCGGTACTGCATGAATTTGGGGGCTAGTCCTAAATTGTGGAAACAGAATAACAAGTTCCATGTGTGGAAACAAAATAACAAGTTCCATGTGGAAACAGAATAACAAGTTCCATGTGGAAACAGAATAACTGCTTTTGAACTTTGACTTATTTATTAGAGGGAGACAGAGAGCGAGCTCCTGTCCACTGAGTCACTTCCCGGATGTCTTTAGCAGGGCTGAAGCCAGGAGCCAGGAACTCAACCCAGGTCTCCCACATGGTAGCAGGACCCCAATTCCATGAGCCGTAACTACTGCCTCCTGGGGTCTCCCTTAGCAGGAAGCTGGAGCCAGGAATCAAACTCCAGCATTCCAATGGGGGCCTGGACATCTGAACCAGAACCCTAACCTCTAGGCTAAATTCTCACTCTAAGAATAGCCTTCGCATCTGGACAGAACTTGAACATTAAGCATGGGACAACAGCTTCTGTGAGAAACAGGAGCCACCGCCTGTGATGCTGCATGCCATATGGGCACCAGTTTGCATCCTGGCTACACCACTTCCAATCCTGCCCTCTGCTAATACACTGGGGAAGCAGTGGAGGATGGCCAAGTCCTTGATCCCCTGCACCAACCTGGGAGACCCAGATGGAGTTCCAGGCTCCTGGCTTTGCCTGGACAAGACCTGGCTGTTGTGGCTATCTGGGTAGTGAAACCAATGGATAGAAGATCTCTCTTTAACTCTAACTCTGCCTTTGAAATAAAGAAATAAATCTTAAAGAAAAGATAATCACAGTTGGCTAAAATTCCCAAAAAGTATGATAAGGAAACATTGCAGTGGTAAAAGTGGGGTCTTCCAACGACCTGGCTTTCTACCCACCCAGCAGACGAGTACCATGCACACCTGGCACACCTTACTCACCTCTCCAAATCCGCCTTTTCCTAGAACTCTGTAATGTCTAAATGTGTTCTTTGTTACTGGTTGCCTAATTAATTGAAAAAAAAAGTTTCAGGTCTCACATTGCATTGTTACCTTAAAGCAGAAAAGCCTACCAGCCCTTGTTCTAGTCTTACTGAGCCATACAGCTCGAATGAATGCCCGGGACAAAGGGTTTGGTGCTCAGGGATTGCGGCCCCCAACAAGCACATTTAACAAAACATGGGAGCAAGACACAGAACTAAATCTTCATAGAATTTCCCTCACTAAGTAAAGGCAGGTGTGCAGCCTGCCTCCCCAGGACGCATGGCACGGTCTTCGGCACGCCCCCTGGGCCTGACGGACAGCTGGTGAGGAAAAGGACATCTACGGTGCAGGGTCCTTTGACCAGGAAATTCTAAGGAAAAGGGAGCTTCGAAGAAGATGCTTCCATCCGACAGCTCAAGAGAAACGTGAATGAACTCAAAATGGAAATTTCATCAAAAATAACTACAACGGTAGTAACAGTTACTGGTTAACACAGTAGCTAACAGTAGTGGCAGCTAACACTTCCGGATCATTTATTCTGTACACCAAGCACGTGCTGCGCATTTTGCATGCATTTCCCAGGTGACGCCAGCCACAGTCCAACTCTGCCTGAAACTCGTCCCCGCTGAGTCCCCTGTGCCAGGTCACGCAGCTAGCAAGAGGCTGGGCAGGGACTTCTGCCGCACAGTGTCAACCACTGCACCAGATTACATTATTGCTCATCTAAGGTAGAAGTTATCTTCCAACCACTGCACCAACAGGTCTAACCCCATTTTAAAAAAGAGAGGAAAAAGTCAACTGAGTAAGAAGAAATTGTATAATACTGGACCCAGTAATAATTTCTGTGCAAAAAAGCCATATACAATTTAAGATTTCCACTAGTTCTTATATTTTGACAGACAGAAAAGTACAGTTCAATCAATATGTAGTATGAGAAGTTATTACCTGTTTCATTGAGTCTTAAATAGGACATACCTTTCCAGCCATTTCCATTGTAAAAACCGAGAAAAATATGAGCTTTCTTGGTATTCTTCAAATGGTTTTTTGCTTAAATAGCTATGGACAATTCTAGAAAAAAGATTTTATGCAATTATATATACTTGTTGCATTCCATTATGAAAATAATTGTGCTTCAGTGTGATAACACGCACTGAAATTCAACCATCACACCACTCAGCATGTGGAGTTTGTAATCATGAGGCGTCCACACCAGGTTCTAACGCTATCAGTTACAATAAAGAAGGTAAAAATTCAAAAGAAATAAAATCATTTTACTCTCCCAAAGTCAGGGGTTCTTTTATACATACATAGACTTCAGGGAAAAATTACTCGACAGAAAGAACATGCCAGTAGGAAGACAACAGCTTAAAATACATTTAAATTGTGTGTGTGTGTTTCATGAAAATGTCAACGTGTTGCAAGTGAGACTGAAATGAAGAGCTGAGTGATGACAGACAGGAGATAATGTTGACTTGTGAGACACCCTTTTTCTCTTACTGAAAATAAAGCACCGCTAAATTATTTTATGCAATACATCTCTTGAAAAAGCTGTATGCACTTAACCTTGTTGTTAGGTTTCATTTATAATTTTACTATACAAGTAGTGGGAACATACGAGGGAAAAGTGGCCTGCCGGTACAGCAGCTCATGACTCAGTAAACACCTACAGAGCACACTGCAAGCAGAGTCTGCATTCCAGAGGAAAAGCGGCAGATGAAGCCACACCCTGAAAGTCTGACAGCCTAGCTGGGGAGGCTGATACCGTAGCCCTAAGGGAACGGGCCGGGCAACCACCGCACGCCCTGCTGATGCAGAGCACCTGCTGTGGAAGGAGATGATGGCAGGCTTCTGAGCAGGTGAAGTCACCCTGGGGAGGGACGAAGGGACAGGCATCGCAGGCGCTGACGAGCGTCCAAGTGGCAGAGGCCGTGGTTTATCTGGGGAATGCTAGCAAGTTCTGGAACTGAAGAAACTGGAAATCATCCCAGGATTTCCACTGATGCTTTGAATTCTGAGTAAGTCACGTGATCTGCTTCACTTTGTATTGTAAAACAGGGTTTTCACTTGCTTTTGACTAATATTAAAGAACAGTGATTCTCAAATGTACTTGTAAAAACCTCATTCTCTCATCAGTCCACGGCGGGTCTTCCAAAGATCACCAGACATGTAACAAACATCACTGCTCTGAGTAAGGGAGAGAAAAATGTCTGTGCTTTCTTCCTTTTAAAATTTATTTTACTGGAGAGGCAGAGTTACAGATGTGGGAGAGACAGAGAGAGAGTTCTTCCATCTGCTAGTTCATTCCCCAAACAGCTGCAACGGTCAGAGCTGGGCCAATCTGAACCCAGGAGCCGGGAGTCTCTTCCAGGTCTCCTACTAGGAGCAGGGCCCAAGGACTTGGCCATCTTCTGCTGCTTTCCCAGGCCATAGCAGAGAGCTGGATCAGAAGTGGAGCAGCCGGACTCGAACCAGCACCCACATGGGATGCCGGGACTGCAGGCGGAGGCTTAACCTACTACACCACAGCGCCGACCCCATCTTTTTTAAAAATATAACACACATAATCAAAAGCTCTTTGGGTCCTTTGTCATGCGTAAGAGTGTGACAGCATTCAGAGACAAAAGGTTTGAAGCTTCTTCCACAGGCAACTTCAGGGCTGAACACTGTTCTGGGGCTCCCTAGAGCAGCCTGAAATTTCCTGGTGGAATCAAGGAATCGGTTCCTTGTCCCAGGTGTCACATGGATGGCTCAATCCCAAATAGGTCTGAACCAACTTCACGGTTCTGATACTCTTTGCTTGGGTAATATCACCTTTACAGAGACATTTAAAGTAGCTCCACGAAAACAAAAGCTCCGATATCGACTTCCTTCAACAGTTTACCAGCCTGAGACTGACAGGGCTCCTGACTGTGACTGACTTCTCAGTCCTCCTCTCGGAACTAAGACTGCTCCTCTGCACTGGGGTACAAGCCCGTCATGCACACTTCGAAACAAAGTTATGAGACTTAAATGCATCCTCAGTTCAACGCTGGTTTCAGTCTGTTCAACCCGGCAATTGCCATTGGTGGCTACGCCCTGTGGCCTCCCCTCAGCCCATGCTGGGAAGACAACAGGCAGCAGGAGGAATCACGTTCATGACGCAGCATCAGCATTCTGGAATCCAGAATCAGAAGCAAAGGTTTTTGGGGTTGTAACAATACAGAGACGAGACAGAATGCCCCAGCCCACTGAAACTCCTACCTAGTGTCTACAAGGTATTATGATGTGTTACTCCTCAACCCAGGTTGTCTGGCGTCTGCCACCTCCCTGCGCTGACACAGTCTTAGCTGGGGCCACTAACACCTGCAATAGAGACAGGCCAGGCCAGAAGCCCGACCACCCAACTGAAAGGTATCAGGGTGAAGGGAAGAATGGCCTGCAGGCTCTCTCCACACAACTCTTCTCTCACTTCCTCTCTGCCCGCACTGCCTGCATCTGGCCTCGGGAGCCACAGCCTCAGCCGCACCTAGACAGAGGCCCTGTGCCTCTCGGAGTCTACCTCTCAGCCTTGCTTGATGACTAGAGCACATCTCAAACCCAGCACGTCCCCTGGCAGACTGCAGGGTCAGCCTGCCCTCGCCTTCCGCTCTCTAGATGTCTCTAAAGCCCATTCCTTTCTCTCTGTTGCGGTCATCACCCTGTTCAGGCCACCACACCAGCTGCCCTGGACAACTACAACAACCTGTCAGGCCCATCTCATAGACCCACTCTCCCTGCTTCAAACTGTCCTCTGCAATTGCAGCCAAAGCAGTCTTTCGAAAGGACAAGGAGAGGGCAGGCATTACAGCACAGCAGGTTCAGGCACAGCTTGGGACATCACAGCCCACATCGGGTGCTGGCTGGAAGTCTGGCTAGTCTGCTACTGACCCAGCTGCCCGCTAATGCATCCTGGGAGGCAGCAGAAGATGGTTCAAGTGCTTGGGCTCCTGCCCCCCATGTGGGAGACTCAGATGGAGCCTGGCCCAGCCCTGGCTCTTGTGGGCATTAGGGGAGTGACCAGCAGATGGGAGATATTTCTCTTTCTCTCCGTCTATCTGTCACTCTAACTTTACAATAAGTAAATAAATATCAAAACACACACACACACACACACACACACACACACAATGAATATGTCACTAGTTGTTCTCAAGGCCAAGGACAATCTTTTCCATGGCTTCTTGGACCCCAGTTTTCTCATCATGTGAAATGAGTGAGTGACTGTGTAAATACACACAATACCATATGCTCTGTGCCTAACCACCTCAGAAACCACTTTTTCTTTGTGTGAAGTAGGGAAGTTGAGCCATGCTCCTCGGCCTTACAATTCTGTACATGTTACAAAAATCCAAAGAAAAGGTATTTTCAGCAAGCACCTATGTCTAAAAATCATTTTCATCCTAGTCACAAGCATTTTGGAAGGCACGTGGAGAGGGTCAGGGGATCCTAGGGATTTCAGTGTGACCTGCTACAGTGTTCTGTATGTGTTATGTGTCACTCACTCTCTGGTGAGGGCCATGTCTTAATTTGAGAAGAACTTGTCTCAGGCAGAGAAACCCCTCGAGGGTCAGCCGTAGATAATACACGCAGGGCCCGGGTCAACCACTTACCCAGTGCATTCCTCAAAGGCTTTTTTGGAAGGGTTCTGCTTCAGCCTCAGTTTACATTCTTTCACAACACCTGGAGGTATTTCTGGTAAACAGACTGCCGATTTCTTAATACAGCACAAAGCAAACATATGACAATTAGTGATTTCATAATTCACCAGTCATAAACAGAACTAATGCTGTGTACAAAAATAAAAACATGAAGTGTGTGAAATACAAATCAAAGTACTACCTCTCCCCACTCCTCAGGGCCCAGCCTGCCTGCCTTTGCAGATCTTTTCCTGTGCATATCGGGACACAGACAGACACCTGCATGATCACACTCCTGGCAGCATCATTCGCAACGGCAAAAGACAGAACAGAGCCAGTGTCCACGGAGTGGCATGGCTACACAGCCTAGGGAGGAAGGCGAGCCTGACACACGCTACAGCTGGAACCTCAGGAGGACATCATGCTAAGTGAGAGAGGCCAGACACAAGAGAACGAATCCTCCATGATCCACTCACTGGGTGCTGGGGAGTTAAACAGAAAAAGCAGAAGGGTGATTACCGGGGGCTGGAGAGGGAGTGCTGATCTGAAAACTCTCTCGGGAATCTTTTCATCCTATACACAAGAATTTTGGAAGACAGATGCGAGGCCCTGCAGCCCTCTGAGGGAGTTAGTAGGGGCAGTTTCAGTTTTGCAAGATGAAACGGGTCTAGCGGTTGATTATACGGAAGTATAAAAACACTGGACAGCACACTTAGTAATGGTTAAGGTGGAACATTTTATGTTATTTGCACTTAGACATTGGTTAAAACGCCCACTTCCAGGGCTGGCATTGTGACACAGTGGGTTAAGCTGAGGCCTGTGACACCGGCATCCCATACTGGCACCCTTTTGAGTTCTAGCTGCTCTGCTTCTGATCCAGTTCACTACTAATGCATCTGGGAAAGCAGGAGAAGATGGCCCAAGTATTGGGCCCCTGCTTCCCATGTGGGAGACCGGGCTGGAGTTCCAGGCTTTGGCCTGGCTCAGTCCTGGCTGTTGCAGCCATTTAGGGAGCAAACCAGCAGATGGACGGCATCTCTCTGCCTCGCTCTCTCTGTAACTCTTTCAAATAAATAAATAAAACTTTAAGAAATAAATAAAATAGAATGCCCACATTCCATATTAGAGTATCTGAGTTCAACTCCGCTCTGGCTCCTACCTATCACCTCCTGCTGTTGCAGGCCCTGGGGCATAGCGGTAGTGGCTCAGTAACTGGGTCCCTGGCACCTGCATGGGAGACCTGGATGGAGCTCCCACACCCAGCTTTGGTCTTCAGCTGTTACAGGCATTTGAGGAATGAATCAGCAGATGGGAGCTGTTTGTTTCTCTTTGTGTACACAGAAAAATGCAATGTTTCTTTCCCCTCATGCCAATGGGAGGAGGTAACGGTGACGAGGTGTCAGACGTGTGCTGCCCCGACGGATCTACCGCATTTTCTTTCATGACTCCGGGTTTCCCAGCGTGGGGCTCATCTACTCTTTCTTTTATTTATTTATTTATTTATTTATTTATTTATTTATTTATTTATTTTTGACAGGCAGAGTGGACAGTGAGAGAGAGAGACAGAGAGAAAGGTCTTCCTTTGCCGTTGGTTCACCCTCCAATGGCCGCCGCGGCCGGCGCGCTGCGGCCGGCGCACCGCGCTGATCCGATGGCAGGAGCCAGGAGCCAGGTGCTTCTCCTGGTCTCCCATGGGGTGCAGGGCCCAAGGACTTGGGCCATCCTCCACTGCACTCCCTGGCCACAGCAGAGAGCTGGCCTGGAAGAGGGGCAACCGGGACAGAATCCGGCGCCCTGGCCGGGACTAGAACCCGGTGTGCCGGCGCCGCAAGGTGGAGGATTAGCCTAGTGAGCCGCGGCGCCGGCCTACTCTTTCTGATTATTCCAGCTGTCAATTTTCCCACTGCAAATACCACTGCCGTGAACATCTTCGTACTCTTGTGTTTCTACAGAACAGACATCTGAAAATAAATTCCTAGCTCAAAGGACGCATGCTTTGTGAATCTGAATATTTATTGTAAAACTGCTCTCCAAATAAAGCCCACTACTCTACATTTCCATGCAACACTGCTCTTCGGTGCCAGTTTCCGACTGCCTTTAAACCTCATCCAGAGGCTTCACGCACTGTGTCACAACAGTCCTCACCCTCTTGATGGTGTCATTTGGACACAAAGTTTTTAACTTTGAAGAAGTCTAGTTTCTTTTGTTGTTTATATTTTAAGTGTCATAACTAGAAAATCACTGCCTAATTCAAAGTCTTAAATATTCATGCCTGTAATTTCTGCTAAGAATTGTATAGTTTTAATTCTTACATAGTTAGGTCTTTAGTCAATTTTGAGGGTTTTTTTTATATGGCGTGAGGTAGGGGCCAATCTCATTCACTTCATGTAGTTATCCAGTTGTTCTAGCACCATCTGTTGAAAAAGACTTTCTTCCACTGAACTGTCTTGGCATCCTTACGTCAACTGTAAACGTATGAATTTACTCTGTACTCTCAGTTCTGTTCCACTGACTCATACGACTATTCTTATGCCACTCCCACACTGTCCTAATTATTGCAGCTTTCTAGTTTTTAAAATTCAGAAGTGTATGCTCTCCAACTATGTTATTTTTCCTTCAAGGATGTTAAATTGTTCTCAGTCACCCAGATATCATTCGAATCCTAAAATCAGCTTGCTAATTTCTGTAAAAAAGGACATTACAACTTGATAGGGATTGTATTGAATTTGTAGATCAACGGGGGTGGAGTGTGCTGCCTTATTAACATTATTAAGTCTTCTCATCCATGAACATGGGATTCTCTCCACTATCTTAGGTTGCCTTTTCCTCAAAGTTTTGCAGTTTTCAGTATAAGTGTGATATTTCTTTTGTTATATTTATTCCAAAGTTCTTTTTTGCTGCAATTGTAAATGGAATTGCTTTCTTAATTTATTCTTTGAATTTTAATTGCTGGTGTTCAAGAATATAATAGAACTTTGTTCAGTAATCCAGCATCTTGTAATCCTGGCAAACTCACTTATTAGCTCTAGTATTTTTATGTGTATGTGTGTATTTGTCAGGATTTTCTCTACTTAAGGTCAAGACATTTGAAGATACAGGCAGTTTTATTTCTTCTTTTCCAATATAAGTATCTTTTCTCTCTTTTTCTTGCCTAGTTGCCCTGGCTAGAACCTCTAGTCTAATGGAACCTGCAGTTAACAGAAGACAAAAGCACACAGTCTCATCTTGTTCTAATCTTGGACAAATCACCTCACGTGCTTCAGCATGACGTCAGCAGCTGAACAAGTCCCATTCTGCTCCTAGTTTGTTTTCACTCAGAAAGGCTAATGAGGATTAAAATCTGAGTATCTTAGACTTTCTCTTGACCATACTACCCTCTAACTTAGTTTCTACAACTCTGATTCTTGGCTCCAACACTTGCCAGCTGTGTAACCTTGGCTAAGTCACTTAACCACCCTGATTTTCAGACTTCTCATCTGAAAATGGAAATACTGATAATAACTATCTCAAGGGTTGTGATGAAGATGAGATGATGTTTGAAGTGTCTAAAGCTTACAGTAGCACTGACTAAATGTTACTGGTCCTTGTTACTCTTCTCCTTCCACCCACCTAACATAGGATCCTGCCCAAAACTAAAGACTCCAGCAGCCCTCCAAAGACAAGGGCATGAAATGAAGCAGGCGCAGGTCTAATCTCAGTGACAAACTGCACTGCAAGGACCTAGTGAGTCAAAGGCATGCAAACTAAGACTTGGTAAAGCTTTTAGAAAAAAATATTATTTTTAGTTCAGCAAATCAAATTCTCCAATTCTATATCCTGTTTGAGGAAACAGCAACTTTTAAACTCTTCTAAGAGATTTGTTAATTTTTTCACTGAATTAAAAGCACAGAAGAGGACTATTTTTAAGAAATTAAAGCTTTTAAGATATTTGTTATGTCTTTTCCAATAGTAAAAATGGCTGTACATTCCAAACATTTAGTAAGTTGTTTGCAAATCTTTACTTAGAAGAAAACATACCTCATTGCTGAAGAATTCCTCTAGAATGCACAGTCCACAATGTTCTTGGTCCTCATCTATGGCAACTTCATATTCTGCCTGGTTGGAGAGGCAAGAGAAAATAAGCAATAATGATTTACAATGGACCCCTGAGGCAGACAGCAGCTCTACTGATAAACTATCTACAGTTCTTCCTTGAGAATCCAAGAGCTATAAGGTGGTGTGGGCAGGGGGAAGGGGAGTCAATACTTCTAGGAGGTTAATAATGAAGTAGAGCAATACTTTCCCTAATATTCTCTGTGCTCTACTATATTTTCGGTCATTAAATGTGGCTAAATAGAATGGAATAAAGTAAACAACGTAAGCTTTGATGCAATAATATTTTATAAATGTCTAAGACAGAGTCAGTGCTGTGGTGTAATAGGTTTAGCCTCCGCCTGTGATGCTGGCATCTCATATAGGCGGAGATTTGAGTACCAGCTGCACCTCTTCCAATCCAGCTCCCTAGTAGGCCTGAGAAAGCAGTAGAAGATGCACCAAGTCTCAGGCCCCAGCACCCATGTGGGAGACCTGGAAGAAACTCCTGTCTCCTGGCTTCAGCCTGGCCCAACCCCAGCCATTGATGCCATTTGGGGAGTGAACCAGTGGATGGAAGACTTCTCTCTCTGTCTCTCCCTCTCTCTGTTTATAACCCTGCTTCTCAAATAAATAGATCATTAAAAAAAGAAAAAAGAAGGGAATGTCTAAGAGACACTTAGAGCACTGGGTTGAGAGCTCCCAGGGAGTCAGGGTTGGTGATAACAAAGCAGGGGTCATCCACACACAGCAGCAGGGCAGAGACCCTAGAGCGGACAACATCCGCTAGGCTAGAACCCAGCAGGAGAAAGAGCACAACGCCTAACATCTAAACAGCCACATTAGACAGGAAAGAAAGACCTGGGGAAGGGATGAGAGACAAAGAAAGCCTGAGGCCAGGTCCCCAAGCCGAGGTAGGACAACTTCAAGGAGGAAGTCAGCAAGGTCAATACACGTGGGGACTCAGCATGGAGAGACTGCCAAGAGAGCCCTGGGTTTGCAAGTCAAGGGCCTTGGAAGAGCAGCGAGGCAGGAGCAGGTGGCAGCTGAAGAGACAGTAAGGAGATGAAGGCTGAAGAAGCTGATCCACCGATTCTGTGTCCTTCACGGCCCAGCCCAGAGTCCAGGACCATCAGACTGACAGCCTGGTCACAACCAGCCCCACCTTCTTTGTTCAGTGCTCACTATGACAATAACCAGCACACTGTCTACTTAAAGAAGCTTTATACATACGTTCTGAGCAGTTCTGGATGCTGTACGGCCTGCAACTAATACAAAAGAAGTGCATCTGAGGCTGTGATGTGCCAACTCGACAGCCATTCAATCAAACACTGAGGTATGGACAGGACGTCATCTGTACATGTGATTAAAGTCTATAGTTGACGTGCAGTAAAGGAAATTGTACTAGATAACCTGGGAGAGCTAGATAACCTGGGAGAGCTGACCCAGTCATTTGAAAGATGTCAGGAGCAGAGCTGAAGCTTCCCTGAAAAACAAAGTCCACCCAAGGATAGCAGCCTCAGCCTATTTCTGGAAAATTCCACCATGCCCTTCCTGATGGTCCACTTCAGGCCTTCCTGGTTGAGCCACTTCCTTGCACTTAATCTCTTTTTTTTTTAATTTTTTTTTTATTTGACAGGTAGAGTTATAGACAGTGAGAGAGACAGAGAGAAAGGTCTTCCTTCCGTTGGTTCACTCCCCAAATGGCCACCACGGCCAGCGCTGCGCTGTGGGGAGCAACTCGGACTAGACTAAGTTACTGGAATTAAGACTTATTCTATGCATCTGCTCTCCCACAATATGGCGCTGGGAGAGGAGGAAACAGATTCTATACAGCTGCCTCCAGTTCAACCAATAAACAGCAGGACTTGCTCCTGATTGGAGGAGAGCAGCGTACTTGGCGTGTGGGTAGCAGAGTTGGGATTGGCGGAAGAGGACTATAAAGGAGGAGAGAGACAACATGCACCAGGAACATCTAAGGGGAACATCTATCTGAAGGAACACCTGTGCAGCCCCCGAGAGAGCTGGCCGGCAGTGTGCCGCTCCCCCGCGGAAGTGGGGAATGTGGCCAGGGGGAACCGCCCTTCCACGGAGGTGGAAGGGACGGTAGCCAACCCAGGAAGAACCAGCAGCAAACCCGGGGAGGGCCGAGCAGACAAAAGAACAGCGCAGGGTCCTGTGTCGTTCCTCCACGAAGACGGGGAGCGACACTGTGCCAATCCGAAGCCAGGAGTCAATTGCTTCTTTCTGGTCTCCCATGGGGTGCAGGGCCCCAAGCACTTGGGCCATCCTCCACTGCTATCCCAGGCCACAGCAGAGAGCTGGACCGGAAGAGGAGCAACCGTGACTAGAACCCGGCACCCATATGGGATGCCGGCGCCACAGGCAGAGGATTAACCAAGTGAGCCACGGCGCCGGCCCCACACTTAGTCTCTTGATATCTGTCTCCTAGTGTTTATGGCTGTCTGGCTGCACCCTGACCGACACAGATACCACAATTCACTAATTCACTAAGACCCAGGGTGGACACCCACACCACAGGCTGTGAAGGCCAATGGAAAATGCAGTCTCTCCATTCAAGCAGCTCAAATAACCTATTAGCACAAGGACAGCCTGAGCAGTAGGTGCTACACAACCAGCACAATCGAGACTTATTTCTAAGCCCACATAATTACCATTAAAAAAAAAAAACTGTCGCCGGCGCCGTGGCTCAATAGGCTAATCCTCCGCCTTGCGGCGCCGGCACACCGGGTTCTAGTCCCGGTCGGGGCACCGGATTCTGTCCCAGTTGCCCCTCTTCCAGGCCAGCTCTCTGCTGTGGCCAGGGAGTGCAGTGGAGGATGGCCCAAGTGCTTGGGCCCTGCACCCGCATGGGAGACCAGGAGAAGCACCTGGCTCCTGGCTCCTGCCATCGGATCAGCGCGATTGGAGGGTGAACCTTTAGGCAGCCGCGGCGGCCATTGGAGGGTGAACCAACGGCAAAAGGAAGACCTTTCTCTCTGTCTCTCTCTCTCTCACTGTCCACTCTGCCTGTCAGAAAAAAAAAAAAAAAAAACTGTCACCAATTAATTTGCTGTCACCTAATATCTAACAGGCATAATGATAACATGAAAATTTAAATGGAAATAAGAGTTTTAGCAAAGCAGTTGAGCCTTGCTAACATGAAGAATTATAGGTCCCTAAATGCCTTTATTTTTTAAAAAAGATTTACTTAAACATTTGAAGGGCAGACATACAAAGAGGGAGAGAGAGCGAGAGAGTGAGAGCGAGAGCGAGAGAGAGAGAATCTTCCATTGGGTGGTTCACTCCCAAATGGCTGCAATGGCTAGGACGAGGCCAGGCAGAAGCCAGGAACCAGGAGCCAGGAGCTTCTTCTGGGCCTCCCACGTGGGTGCAGGGGCCCAAGTGCTTAGGCCATCTTCCACTGCTTTCCCAGGTGCATGAGCAGGCAGCTGGATCAGAAGAGGAGCAGCCGAGACACGGAGGCTCAGCCTTCTATGCCACAGTGCCAGCCCCTGTCCCTAAATTCTTAAATTATAGTAGGTTGGCAAGTATATCCTGCCACATGAAAACTGGCATGCACATTCTAGCCCTGCAAGTGCGCAGGCCAGCCTCACTGCCTCAGATTCCATCTCTAAAAACAGCAAACAGTCCTTTTCTAAGCCTTGTCTTAGTGTCAGAAAGGAAAAAACTAGGGGAGTTGTAAGGAGCAGGGAGCAAGTAACAACAAGGCTTCGAATAGTGCATTATAAGTACATGTTTCTTCAGACTGTAAGCAATGGCATAGGAGAAAAATGAACACAAGCTCGGTGATGTGATAGTGTTCAATACATATTTGCAGAAATAACTAGGACCAGCCAACACAGGGAGAAGCAGAATCCTAACCTTAGCACAACGAAAGAGCTTTCCTGCGGACTTTGGTCACTTGCTTCTGAATTTCACAGTTTTGAAATTCTAGACTTGACAGTGGATACAAAGATTTAGGGACTCAAAAGTTCTTTATCTATAAGGAAATCACACTAAATCTCAAACAGGATCTATGAAAATTTTGGAAACCACAGAGTAAATTCCATTGAACATGGTAATCTTCCCCTCCGCCCGATTTATTTATTTGAAAGGCAGAGTTACAGAGAAGCTGAGGCAGAGAGAGAGAGAGAGAGAGAGGTCTTCCATCTGCTGGTTTACTCCCCAAATGGCTGCCATGGCTGGAGCTAGGCTGATCCAAACCCAGGAGCCAGGAGCTTCTTTTGGGTCTCCCACGTGGGTGCAGAGGCCCAAACATTTGGACCATCTTCCACTGCTTTCCCAGGCCACAGCAGAGAGCTGGATCGGAAGTGGAGCAGCCGGGACTCGAACCGGTGCCCGTATGGGATGCCAGCACTGCACACTGCAGCTTTACCTGCTACGCCACAGCATCAGCCCCCCATGGTTATGCTTCTTAAGCTAATTTTATCCCTTCCTGTGTTTCCAAGTTAGTGTTTTAAGTATACAGGAAGTGGCAGTTAAAGGCTGAAAGGATACTTTTTTGGTGGCTGAATAAGTATATTGTCTTAATTAGCCTGTCAATCTTTATACCAATGAAAACAGCATTTTCAGTCATAAGCACTTATGCCTTTCCAACATCTGAGATTCTACATGAAATACTACTGTATAACAAAGGGATTTCCTTACCAAGAAGGTAATATGACACCAAGACAAACAGTCTATTCATTGCTACATCCTTGCTGAGCAAGATCTGGTTTTGATGAGATTGGGAGGCTTCACACTGAGGTCACTCACTTACCACTGCGTCCAAGAATTCAATGCGCCTCTTTAGACCAGGTTTTGTGTCACAAAATTGCCTGAAGAGAAGTCTTCCTATTGGCTGTTTGTCACAAAGACTACAATAATCCCTTT